GGCCAGAGGTGTTGGGGGGTGGTGAGAGGATTCACCAGAGACAGAGTGGGGAACAGAACAGGCAGATTGACTGAACAACACTGCTGAGGGGAGCAGCGGGCAAGTAAAAAGTCTGCTGTGCCATGTGGGTAGCTCCCTGGCGGGGGATCGAACTCATGCTGCAGTGGCTGTGGATAGCTTCATAGGTTGAGTCTTTAACCCCTTGCACCACCAGAGAGGCCCAACCTCCAGAAACTTTTTATATACGAAAATTACATGCACCCAAGTGGCATAATGCAGACTATACAGTGAACCCAATTAAACTCTTTAGTTTTTCCAAGAATGAAAGCATTATGTATACAGTTTTGGCTTAAGGAAATTATTTGAATTCTAACCCAAATCAGTATTGTAAATATGTCTGAGACCCATCGACTCTGATTGGCTCTACTCTAGCTTTTGGGCAAATCTGGGTTTCTTAATTTGTAAAATGTAATACATTTCTCACAATGGGAGATAATGTATTCTAACACTCTTTATTAGGAAATCCCAACAGGTTCCTTCAACTCAATTGAACAATTTTTAATATCTGTTCTTTATCTACATTTTAGTAGTTTAGATTTATTCATGATTTTCAGTAGCCCCTATGCGGGCTAGGCACTGTGCTGTGAAGTGATAAAGAAGCACAAATATATACCATCTGTCATCGTGTACTTTTACCATATTGGAGGCATTTGTTCATCAAATAATCAAAATGTCAACTATGTTAAATGTATAGAGAGAGGTAAACTAAGAGTTTGTCCTGATCATCACAGAAATCAAGAAAGGCTTCCTTAGGGGAAATTCTTATAGCGTGAGTATGAAACAACTAGACATGGCAAAAGGAGGAAGAGTGCTCCAGGCAGGAATAGAATATGCTTTATCTTTTGAATGTGTATATAGACACTAATAGCTAGTTACTCTGGGAACGGGACTGAAAGAATAGTGCACCTAGCACAGACTATGAAGACATGACTAACTAGATAGAATGACCAAAGACACAGAAGTTTGTAGGACACGTTATCCTAGATACAAAGGTAAATTGTTAAAGGATTGCAGGGTTTCTATTGCTGCTGCTACTGCTGCTGCTGCTGCAAGTAGATGGGCTCAATGTATTACACAAACCTGACTATATTGTGAAATGAATTTGAGGTAAGACAAGAGTAAATGTGGGCCAGTCTGAAGCAAAGAAATGATGATAATTTAGTATAAGGCAAGATAATGCTGGTGAAAAAAAAATAGAAAAATTCAAGAGATAATCAGGAGATAAACAGAACTTGATGAGACTGTATATGAGGGCAAAGGAGTCATCAAGGGCAATTTCTAGATTTCTGTTTTAATTTACTAGTTGAATGTTAGTTCTATTTTCAGATATATGACAGGAACAGGTTTGGGAAGATTGTGCATTTAGTTTTGGATATGTTGAATACAGAGTATTTTGTTAAATTAAAAAATTTTTTAAAAAAATCTAACCATTCTTCTACTCAAAGCCATGTAACAGAATCCCACCGAACTTTGAATAAAATTTCCCAAAGGCATGTAAGAATGATTTGACTCTATTTCCTCACTTTCTCCCCTATTCATTTATCAACCCTGCTCATTTTCACTCCAAAAGTACTAATATTCTTGAACTCCTTGATGTCATTAAGTTCATTCTTCTCAAAGGGCTTTTGTACTTAAGTCTTCACTCTGCCTGGAATACTATGCCCCAGGTATTCATATGGTTTGATCTCTCAACTAAATGGAAGACCATGTTCAGATGTCATCTTCTCAAAGAACCTCCTCTATCCTATATAAAAAGCCTTCCTGCTAAAGTCTAGGCTGGAAGGCTTCATAAAATCTCCTCTAATCTTGATGTGCTAAAGGAAAAGGCCTATTATATAATACAAATCTTATCCTCAAGATGTTTGAAATCAGTTGACAGTCTAACTAAATCTGCAACTCAATTCAAATTCCATGAATTGAGATGATCAATCCTCACACTAGCAGAAATGTCCAAACTGAAGCAAAGAGAGAAAATAAGAGTGGAAACAAGAAAGTAAAGGAAAAGAACATGGGACACAAACAGTATAATACATTTATAACTGGAGTGTCAGAGAGGAAATAAGAGAACATGTGAAGGGCTAATGGCCAAAAATTTTTTCTTGATGGAATATATCAACTAAGAGATTCAAGAGTTCAGTAAACCCCAAGTGGAATAAATAAAATGAAAATGATAAATAAGTTTATGGAACTATTAACATGTACTAGAATCTTTAATATGTTTTATTATCTTCTCCCTAACAAATATTTTCAATGTTTCCATTACACATATTTACAAACTTTCAAAATCTCACAGACCAGATGCCACAATTAAAAGTATAGAAACTCATTATAGTCAAACTGCTGAAAACAAAGCTAAAAACATAATCCTAAAAGCAACCAGAAAAAACACATGACCTACAACGAGCATAAAGTTTTCAACTGACTTCTCAACAGAAAATATGAAAACCAAAAGCAACGGGATGCCAACTTTAATAATGCCAAATAAACAAAAGTGCCAATACAGAATTCAGTACCAAAATATCCTTCAAAAATGAAGGTACCAAAGTCATTTTAAATATCTTGCTAACACTAAGTTAACTGTACTACAAAAAGCAATACTAAATCAATATTATCAAATGGCCATTCTACCCAAATCAATTTACAGATTCAATGCAATGCATATAAAAACTTCAATGCCATTCTTCAAAGAAATGGAATAAATATTGCTGAATTTACATGGAATCACAAAAGACTCTAAATAGCTAAATGAAAAAGGACTAAAAAGGGGGAATAAGGGATTATACCTCCAGGCTTCAAACTATACTACAAAGCAGCATGGCACTGGACCAAAAACAGACACACAGACCAAATGTATAAAATTGAGGGCCCAGAAATAAAACCATACATATACGGTCAAATAATTTATGACAAAGGAGCAAAGAATATATACACTGGAATGAGAAATGTCTCTTCAACAAGTGGTGCTGGGAACACTGTGGACTGCCATATACAAAAGAATGAAACTAGATTCTACCTCACACCATACACAAAAATGAACTCAAAATGGATAAATAACTTGGACATAAGACCAGAAACCCTAAAATATATAGGAGAAAACACAGGCAAAACACTGTACGACATAAACTTCAGAAACATCTTTGAGGATGTTTCTCCAGAAGCAAGGAAAACAAAGAATATAAACAGCTGGAACTACATTAAACTAAAAAGCTCTGCACAGCAAGAGACACACTAACCAAAATGAAGAGACACCCTAATGAATGGGAGAAAACATTTGCACACCCTACAACTGATAAAATACTGACATTGAAGATCTAGGATTCACAAGTCAATAGAAACAAGTCAAAAAGCACAATCAAAAAATGGACAGAAGAGCTAGACAGGCAATTCACCAAAAAAGAAATGCAAGTGGACAAAGGCATATGAAAAAATGTTCAACATCATGTATTATCAGGGAAATGCAAATACCACTTCCACCTCTAAGAATGGCCCACATTATAAAAAACAGAAACAAGTGCTGGTGAGGGTATGAAGAAAAAGGAACCCTCTCACACTCTTGGTGGGAATGTAGACTGGCCTAGCCACTATGGGAAGCTGTGTGGAAGTTCCTCAAAACACTAAAAATGGATCTGCCCTACAGCCTAAGGAAACTTGTACTCTATGTTAATTACAGCACTATTCACTATAGCCAAAACATGGAAACAAACTAAATGCCCTAAAACAGATGACTGGATCAAGATGTGCTATATATACACAATGGAATACTATTCAGTGACAAAAAATGATAAACTCATGACATCTGCAGCAACATGGATGGGGTTGGAAGGGATTATGTAAGTGAAATAAGAAAGAGAAACATAAAACTACCAGACAGTGTTACTTATATATGGAATATAGAGAAACCAAACAAAGGGTCAAAGACAAACCTTGAAAGTTGACCAATGATTGTGGCATTGGGTGGGGGTGGGAAGAGGACGGTAAAAGTGGTGGGGGGAGTGTGTGAAGAGCACAAGGGACTATGGTGATGGAATATGTGTGAATTGGTGGTGGGAGAACTACAGTGATCACACCTGAGGGGAGAAATCATATACTGTCCAAAAATTAGCACCAATGTAAGAAAAAGGTATTTCATTTAAAAATAAATTAAATTTAAAAAAGAAAGTGGAAGGAAGGAGGGAACAGAGGCTACTAGAGAAAAGATGAATACTAAGAGATAAAAAATAAAATAAGCAATACTAAAAGTTCTTCAGGCTAAAGGAAAGTAAATTAAAAGGGAAACATGAAACTAAGGGGGAAAGAAGAAAAATGTAAGGGAGTAAACAGGAAACACTGACTAAAGTAGCAGCATCACAGCATTTATAAGGCGAAACATACAACAATTGTAGCAGAGAGCAGAGTTGCAGCAAGAGGTTAAGCTATTAAACTTCTTACACTGTTCAGTAAAATAGTACAACAAAGACTATAACAAGCCAAACACAGACATTGCAATCTATAGAGGAGCCACTAAAATAATAACACAATCAGGAATAACTAAAAGCTAATAGAAGAGAACAAATAATAATGAGCTAAAAGAAGGCAGGAAAAGGAGAACATAAAGGAATAAAGAAGACTGATAAAAAGTTACCAAGATAGCTGATTTAAATCCTGCCATCAAGGATACAAAATCAATGCACAAAAACCAATAGCCTTCCTATACACAAACAATAAACCTGAAGAAGAAATCAAGAAAACAATTCCTTTTATTATTGAAACAAAAAAATCAAATACTTGGGAATAAACCTAACAAAAGAAGCAAAGGACCTATACAAAGAAAACTATAATACTGTTAAAAGAAATAGAAGTATTGCGTTCTCCTGCCACCGGGTGAGGGTCCCACGTGGCACGCAGACCTCTCCTGCCGCCCGCTGCTCCACTCAGCAGTGTACTTCGGTCCTTCTGCCTGCTCTGCTCCCCGCTCTGGCTCTGGTGAATTCTCTCACCCTCCCGTGCTTCTGACTGTACCCAGTGCTTGTATGTATGTATGTATGTATGCATGTATGTATGTATGTATATATAAATAAATATTGAAAAAAAAAAGTAGTAGACACAAAGAAATGGAAAGACATTCCCTGCGCATGGATTGGAAGAATTAACATTATCAAAATGGCCATCCTACCAAAAGCAATTTAGAGTCAATGCTATTCCAATTAAAATTTCAATGTCATTCTTCGAGGAAATAGAAAAAATATTGATGAAATTCATATGGAGCCACCAAAAATCCCGAATAGCCAAAACCCTCCTGAAAAAAAAAAAAGAAGGGAATGGAGGCATCAGTCTCCCATATTTCAAACTATACTACAAAGCCATAATAATCAAAACTGCATGGTACTGGAACCAGAACAGACACATGGACCAATGGAACCAAATAGAAAACCCAGAAATAAACCCACAGATCTATGGTCAACTAATCTTTGACAAAGGAGCAAAGAATATGCACTGGAGCAAAGAAAGTTTGTTCAATAAATGGTGCTGGGAAAACTGGGTCACTACATGCAAAAGAATGAAGCTTGACCACTACCTCACACCAAGCACAAAAACCAACTCAAAATGGATTAAAGAACTAGACATAAGACCTGAAACCATAAAATATATAGAAGGAAATACAAGCAAAACACTACATGACATGCACCTCAAAGACATCTTTACAGACGCATCACCCAGAGCAGTGATAGTGAAGGCAAAGATAAATAGCTGGGGATTGTTAAATTAAAGAGCTTCTGCACAGCAAAAGAGACAATTATGAAAACAAAGAGAAACCCCACCGACTGGGAGAAAATTTTTGCACACAACACTAATGATAAAGGACTGATCACAAAAATCTACAAAGGAGCTGATGAGACTCAACAAAAACAAAGAAAATAATCCAGTCAAACAATGGGCAGAAGAGCTAAAAAGAAACTTCTCCAAAGAGGAAATACAAATGGCCAACAGGCATATGAAAAAATGTTCAACGTCACTTGCAATCAGGGAAATGCAAATCAAAACTACAATGAGATACCATCTCACACCAGTGAGAAAGGCACATATTAAAAAAACTAGCAACAACAAATGTTGGCGAGGATGTGGAGAGAAAGGAACTCTCCTGCACTGCTGGTGGGATGCAAACTGGTCCAACCACTATGGAGAGCTGTGTGGAGATTCCTCAACCTACTAAAGATAGCGCTTCCATAAGACCCAGCAATTCCACAACTAGGTATTTACCCAAAGGACACAGAAACATTAATTCCAAAGGGCACCTGCACCCCTATGTTTATAACAGCACTATTTACAATAGCTAAGCTATGGAAACAACCCAAACGCCCAAAAATAAGATGACTGGATCAAGAAGATGTGGTACATATACACAATGGAATATTACTCAGCAATCAAAAGAGATAAACACATGTAGTTTGCAGCAACATGGATGGAGCTGGAAGGGATCATGCTCAGCGAAATAAGCCAGAAAGAAAAAGAAAAATACCGGATGGTCTCACTCATAACAGGAATCTAGAAAACCTAAATAAGGGACCAGGAAAAAGAATAACTATAAGAAAGAAAAAAACCAAAATCAACAAACAACTATGAACCAGAGACACCCTTTGGGGGTGGGGGGGAAAGGAGGGATTGGGGTCAAAATCAGAGGGTTGCAATTGTATGGGAAATATAAAAATTAAAAAAATAATAAAAATAAATTCTGCCATCAGTAATTACACCAAAAGCAAACAGTCAATAAACATTTTAAGAACAAAAACTCTAAGATTGGGTAAAAGGATGCAGCCACCAGAGGCCAAAAGGCACCAAGGTAAAGAAGCTGGCCCTGCCCCCTACGATTGCAAAGAATCAGGAGGCCAAGAATGTGGTAAATGAATTGTTTGAGAAAAGTTACAGGACTTTTGGCACTGGACAGGACATCCAGGACACACAGAAGAGACCTCACACGCTTTGTCAAATGGACCCACTACATCAGGCTGCAGCAACAAAGGGCTATTTTAAGTGACTAAAAGTGCCACCTGCCATTTACCAGTGCACACAGGCCTTGGACCACTAAAACCGCTACTCAACTGCTAAAGCTGGCTCACAAATACAGACCATAGTCCTAGGAAAAGAAGCGAAGATTGTTGGCCTGGGTTGAGAAGAAGGCTGCTGGCTAAGGGGATGTCCCCACTAAGAGACTACCTATCCTTTGAACAGGGGTAAATACTGTCATCACCCTGATGAGAACAGGCTCAGCTGGTGGTGATGTGGAAGCCAAGTTGTCTGTCTTCCTACCTGCCCTGTCTTGGAAGATGGAGGTTTCCTACTCCATTATCAAAGGAAAAGCTGAACTGGGGACCACCGTCACCTTTACACAGGTTACTCTGAAAACAAAGGAGCCCTGGCTAAGCTGGTAGAAGCTATCAAAACCAATTACAGTGACAGAGGTCATGAGATCTGTAGTCACTGGGGAAGCACATTCTGAGTCCAAAATCGGTGGCTAGCACCTCCAAGCTGAAAAAGGCAAAGGCTAAAGAACTTGCCACTAAACTAGGCTAAATGTATGCTGCTATGTCTTCTGCACATAAAAAGAATAAACATCCTTCAGCCATTGTAAAAAAAAAAATGCCACGAAGGCATAAAATGTTTTCACATCACTCACTTTAAATATAAGAATACAAACAGGTTGAAAATAAAAGGGTAAAAGAGGTTCTGTCATCCAATCAACAGCTAAAACTGGTATGCAATGTTAACGTTGGACAAAGCAAACATGAAATATTCATAAAGATACAAAGTGATATTTTATAATTATGAAACGTTCACTTAATCAGAGACATTATGCACTGAGTAACATAGCTTTGAAGTACATAAAATATATTCTCCACTACTCATTTCTGCACTATCCTGCTTTCCTTTCTTACTCACTGCACTTTTCACAGTCTGACATCATGTCATATATCTAATTAGTTTTCATACTTCTCCAACCTTATAATTAGACTAGCTAGTAGTAGGCACGCAATACGTATTTGCTGAAGAAATGAGTAGAACTTCCACTAACAATGTGTTTTCTTATGGCTTATTTCCAAAGTTCTATTATCTACCTATTTTTTTCAGTTATGCAATCCACTAATTTTAACAGCAATAAATCTTTGTTAGCCAAGATTTGCATGACAAGTTCATAAAGCTCCAATATTAAATATCATCCGTCTTTGTTCATTTAGTAAACATATTCCAATATATGTATTGATTCACATAAATCAAATAAACAATTATATTAGCTTTCATGTTTATTCAACTTCACAGAAAAATCCAAAAATGTTTCTGAAAATTGGTTATTTATCTAAATACCAATTGTTCATTATGGTGACATAATACTATGTGGTAAGGGAGATGTGCCTAAGTTAAACAAATTTTTTTAATTCCTGATAATCTTCAAGTGGGCAAAAGGAAATCTTAAAAATCAAACTTACAAGTTGTAATAAGATACAGAAAGTAATTTAACCTTTAATACCTAAAACAAGTTTTACAGCCACATCTGTAATTTACATATACAGTGGAGATCACTGAAATAGCTTCCTGTTGCACTGCAGCAAGAAATTTTATTATAATGTAGATTAAACATATTTGCTACAGAGTGCAGCAAGATAACCTCACTGAAGAATCAAAATTTTCATAATGGAACTTGTTACAGTGAGTTAAATATTTTCTTAATTTTATACAGTACATATTTTCAAAATGAACATTATCACTGAAGAATTTGCTAACTACTGTTAGCAATTAATGTTTTATACATACTTAATTTTACTATAGTTATAGTATGTGGCTCTCTAAATGTTAGTACATGAAATGTTAAGTTTAAACATAATAAGGTACTCCTCCAAGATGAAGACTCAGGACATCAAAACTTCGATCATTATTGCACCTATTTTTCTACAGAAAAATGGAAATTTTACATCATAATCTTCCCAAAAGTGAACAGACAAGTTGCAAAATCACAGACTCATTGGCATTAAACAAAATCTACAATGAACAGTTTTTGTGAACTGATGTTCAACATTAATATACGATGAGATTTGGTTAACTATGATCATGCAAATAAAAATCCTCCACAATCATATTTTTATGTTTTATAAAACGGTCTTAAAGATATACTTTCATAAACATTTCTGGTGCAATTTTGCCAATGACAAAAATACAAAGCTATCCTTTATTCTTTATTTTATAGATTTAAAAACATGCCTTTGTACTGCTGACATAGAAATAAGCATGTATGGGAGAATAGGGCTAATGCAACATTTAAGAACCAATTATCTTGGCCCAACATTAGCTGCCTTGATATTTAGCAGCCTCCCACAATCACTGGTGTCATACGGTTGTAAATGAAGAATAGTTAAATATTGAGAGATTAAGACACAATTCACAACATTTTTTAAAAAGTAAAAAGCTGTTTCGTAAACATGAAGAAGTCTTTAAAAGAAAAATAATCACATCAATTGAGATATACACTGGAAAATAGTAAAATGTCATTTTCCAAAATAGTAGTTTCTTTATTATATCCCCCATCTATTATAACCAATCTTGGAATATACCTTAAACATAATGATGTATTATATGAAAATGCTCCATTATTCAGTGTGATAAATTTAATAAGTTAGAATATGATTATTTTTACGATGTTAAAGACATGGAAAAAAGAAAGAACAGCACCTGAAATACTAAAGTGAATTTAGGTAAGCATTAAAGTAGTAACATATATTTTGGTTCAAAACACAGTTTATAAAACTGTATAAAGGATACTGCCTTAAGTAATTTGTATCTATATTTTGCAGATTATAACAACGAGGAAAAAAAAGATCTGGTCTAAATCCAAATAAATTTCCACTTCTTCCAAAATGGACAAAGTAGAATTTCACTCAAAGTTCATAAGATTGTGATACCTACAGTAGCTCATATAGTTGGATATCACTCCCACCCTGCCCTCCCCCCAAAAAACAATTTTTTGGCTCCAAAATAAAGTACAATAATAAACTCTTGATGAAAAACTATGTTATGGGGCAATCTATCATATACTATGGGCTAAATATGAATTTACAAAGAGCACATCCCATTTTCAGCAATTTTTCCATTAACATGCAACTCACTATAAAATACAAAACACTTGCTTTCAAGAACAGCTTTATAAAGACACACTGCATCAATAAAATTTTTTTTCTTTTTCTGATTAACACACTATTATGGAGAACTGCAACTTTTCTAATGTGTATATATCAGATTTTATATTATAGTGTAATAATTTGCATTTTCTGAACATATTGTCCAAGAGGAAATATCTATACACAATAACATTCTAGACTATTAAAATCTAATTCAAATTACAGAATTTTATTGATACAGTAGATTAATAATAACTGAAAAGGATGGTAAAATGGGATAAAGAATTCAGTACATTATTTTATAACACACTCTTTAAAATTAAAATATTTTAAATCTCTCTCTTCTTAAAATTTTCATTGCCATGAAAGGCCAGAAAATTCTGGAACCAATACTGAGGTGTAAAATAATCAAACAACTTCAGGACTATTTCACAATTTGCAAGGAGTCCTCCCATCAGAGGCTTCGCTCAGATGTAATGGCAGACAATTTAGCACCTCTGAAGATTAAGGGTGCCCAGGAGTAAACACTATGTAAGATACACAAGGGAAAGAGACCATTTAAATTCTCCAACAAAGAGTGACATCAAGGAAATGACACCGTTTGTTGAAAAAAATTTTCACAGTAAAACTGCAGAGAATACAAATACAAACACTGACAGATTACTGCTTACGATCTATTCTAACAAAACTCTTTTCAAATCAATAGATCCAATAAACAGGGTACTGTCAGTTTAAAGCCGCAGATAAAAGCTATACAAGCACTTTAGAAGTCAGAAACATTAATAAAAAAAAAAAGAAAGAAAAATATATTTACAAGTTTCTTCTTTAGTTTATGTCTACATAGCCATCACACATTACATTTTCACAAGACTCTAGAGTCAATGTTATCACCATGTGTATGGCTAAAGTTGTATGACCACAAACACATGAGGTCATCAAAGTAAGGTCCAACTGTCCACTCTTCAGCAGTCCCATTTTGTGCAGCAAAGGCTTTATTCAGCCTCCGGCTTGACAACAAATGATTTTTTTCAAAGCTTTCACAAAGAAAGTTATTGGTTACATTTGTTCATCGCCTTTCTCTTTTAGAACTTCTCCGCCGTACCTTAAAAGAAAAGTCACCAGGTGATGAATTAAAATGGGTACAAAGTTATTGCAGAGTAATTAGTATTATTTACCAATTGTTATTCTTGCTTGGTTCAGATTTCCTCTTTTTTTTCCCTTGAAACCTTTCTCCTTTTAACTTTCTGCGCTGGCATCACATACTTAGATCTATATAACATATGAATTGCCACAATAGCCTTTCTCACAATAACAAAGAGAAAACTATTTTACTTCTCTATTTTAATAATTTTAAAGAGATATGAGTAGAAGTCAGTGTTGACAGCAAAAAAGAAAACACAAATATCCTTTTTACTTATATTTCCTTATATAAAAGAAAATATTTGATACCTCTGAACTTAGGCTTACAAATGTCTTTTTGGGAAAGTGAGTTTGGATCCTAACAATTATCAAATACATGTGTGTATATATATATATATATATATATATATAAAATACTCTTAAGTTCAGACATGTTACTATTTACTGGCAAACACTAATAAAGCCTAAAAATTTAGTTCAAAAAGGATCAATATTAATAAGAAATACAAACAAAATAAGGGTTTTAATTAAATTATGGTATAGCTTTTGTTTGATGAAGACATCAATCACTATGGACACTTTAGCTTTATTTTTACATCCAAAAAAAAACCTTTCAGAAACAATGTTTGCCCAATTAGTTTGAGGACACAATTTATCATTTTTTTCTGTGATCCTAACTTACATAAATGAATCCTGATACAGACAGGAGAGATTACATTAAATAGGACAGAGATAGAGATCCAGCATTAGTATATTAAGAGAACAGCTCTTGTAAATGTGTTAATTATAGTACTTCAAAGAGAAATATCTGAGATGTATTAACTAGCAAAGTGGTTGTTTACCTTAAAAAAAAATTCTCAGAATTTTCACATTCCTACTTTCGTAAGAGTCTATTACAAAGTGCATGAATTACAAAGGCTGACTTTAAAGACATGATTTTATTCTGTATGATTGATTTACTTCTAGTTTCTACAGTGAAATTCAAACAAAAAGTTATTAAGTATAAATAGTATACTTAACAGATAGGTGCTCTAAAAATCAAGGCAAAACCTAAATGCTTAAAAATACTAAACTTGTTTGTTTTTTCAGTTTAAAACTTGACATTTATGTTTTCACTAGGTCACATCTATTATTCTCAATTAGCTTCAGGTTCCCCAAAAAAATGTTTTCTCTATTATTCAAGTCAGTAGGTAAAACAACAGTATAAACTAATGAAGAAAAATATACACTTAATTATTAAGTAACAGCAAGTGCTAAACGGATCTAATCAAGTATTCACCAACGGTATTTCACACTATCACACATGGAACTTTAATAAATACATACATTTACTGTAGAAACTTCCTCTTCTTCTGTTTCTTCCTGTGGAATATCATCATTGACAGGAGAGCTACCTTGAAACACATCTATTTCTTCACTTGAATCATTTTCTTTAGTGGCTGCTTGTTTGGAGCGTCCTACACGGCTAGAGCAAAAAACATTAAATAAAATGAGGACTCTGATCTTTAAGAAGTAGATTTTCCCATCAGAGGAAATACTTGTTTAAAAAGCAGAAAATCTGGAGTCTTTTCTAACAGTGTACCAGTCTTTATCTGACCCTAGAGAGTGTACTTATAAAGAAATCTCATTCATTCACTTCTTTTTTTTTTTTTTACAAATTTTTTTTTTTTTAAGATTATTTATTTATTTATACAAGCACTGGGTACAGTCAGAAGCGCGGGAGGGTGAGAGAATTCACCAGAGCCAGAGCAGGGAGCAGAGCAGGCAGAAGGACCGAAGTACACTGCTGAGGGGAGCAGCGGGCGGCAGGAGAGGTCTGCGCGCCATGTGGGACCCTCCTCCGGTGGCCGGGGAGCAGCCGGGGATCGAACCGGCGCCTCAGAGGCTGCGGGCAGCTTCGCAACCCAGCGCTCAACCGCTGCGCCACTGGGGAGGCCCTCATTCATTCACTTCTATATCTTCATTGCTACTATGTATTTCCAAACCATCCTCATCTCTTGCCTTTTTTCTCTACAAAGTAATATTTAAAAAATGTAAAAACAGATGATGCCACCTCACTCCACAGGTAATTCTCTACCGAGAGTAATTTTGGAAATACCCTTAACATATTAAGCTCTGAAGGCTGGGACCTCCCTAGTGGCACAAGGGGTTAAGCACAACACTGTGAAGCTATCTGCAGCCTCTGCAGCACAAACTCACTCCCCAGCAAGCCAGGGAGCTACCCACATGGCACAGCAGACCTTTCCTGTCTGGCCCGCTGCTCCTCTCACCAGTGTATTTCAGTTGATCCACCTGTTCTGTTTTCCACTCTGCCTCTGGTGAATCCTCTCACCCCCCACACTTCTGGCATGTACCCCAATTCTTGTATGCATTAAGTCTTTAAAAAAAAAAATAAAGCTCTGAAGGCAGTCCTTGCCTACCTTTCCATATCTCTTTCCATTCCACAATTTTCTGCAACTACAGTTCAGCAAATCCTTCCTTCAGCTCTCTGAATCTGCCAAAATTTTTTCCACTTCACAACCTATACCTATACATACCTTAATGTTCCTCTCCCTACTCTCTACCTAATTCCTTCTGTTCCCAAGGAATCAGTTCATCACTTTCAAAAGAGAAAACTTCTGATTCCTCAACCTTCCCATTCCATTCCCTTGTAACCCTAAATTATTCCCTCAAGGCACATCTCACAATTTATAATTCCATATTTATGTGTGATTTATTTAATGACTACCTATATTTTATATTGTAAGTTTCATGAGGACAAGAATCATGTCTGTTTTATGACAGTATAGCCCCCAATACCTAGTACTCTCTGAAAGAGAAGGCAATCAAAATATGTAATAGATAACACCAGTTAATCAAATATTTTCATATTTTTTAATTAGCTTATCACATTTAAAAGCAATCTAAAATGTGTATTGTTTAAGGCCCTGCTCAAGTCACATAATTCTTTTAATTGTTTCAGTTTTTCAGGATATAAAAGAAAATACAGTAATAACATGAAATTAACATAATCCTTTTCAATTCCACTGAGGGCAAAACAGGAAGAACAGGCAAGTCAAAACTTATTAAACCAAGTCTAAAACAGAGCTTTCCAGTAAAGGGAAAACAGACTGTTAAGATACAATATACAACCTTTCTCTATTGATTTTCAAAAAGAAATAACCTGTTTCGTTTACAACATTCATGTGAAAACTGATGTAATTTTATAGGCTAACAATTATGTAAGTCCTTATTTTTCTTTTCCTCAAATATAAACAAGTTAAAGTTATGAGCATGAAAGGTATTTACCTCATTAATTTCTTATCATACAATTAACTATTAAAAGTTACTGTTTCTTTGGAATCCTTTTTTTTTAACAAAAATATTAATTTTCCGTGGTTGAATCCAAACACATTTATGAAGCTGACACAAAAATAAACTTACCTTTGCCTTTTACCTGAGGGAAAAAATTAAATGGAAGAAGGTATGAAGTACTGGCTAGACACTGAAGCAATTTTCCTCTTCCTGTGGAATACACAGGAACAGGAAAAACTTCTAAATACCTAAGTATTTAACCAAAGCATGTTGTCAACTCTGAAGTCAAACCATTGATTTAATTATGTAATGCAATTACTCTCAGCAAAACTGCAGAATTTCTAATAGATGGCATGTTATTTTACTTGCACTTAAACAACTGGAGGTGGGATGGGGAGGTGTCAAATCTACAAATTGTAGCACTGATGTTCCTGTCACATTACTAATTTTGAATACAGATTTCTTATTATAACTCTCTTATAAACGTGTTTGTGTAAACAGTCAAAATTACCTATATGTACATACAGATGTGTTAATTAGAAAAGAAAACCAGGATACCAAAAACGTGAGATCAGCACGATCACTTCTATGGATATAAATTAAGAAAAATGATGTCCATTACTTTCTTACAAAATTCAAAGAATAAAAGTAAAAATAAAAGCCATTTATCTTAAAGTTGCTGAGAAAAGACATGAAGAAAAATTAGTTTGCAATGATAAGGCATACTTGTCAATATGGTGTGATTATTTAAAAATACCTTATCTCTAGATACCATAAAGCCTGTATAGGGAATAATAAATTATTTAGTATTCATTTATAAAGATTTGCCTAAAACCTATAAAAATATACAAATGTTAACAGAGGGTTAACTGGGACATTGATCACCTAGGCAAGTTTGTAAAAATTTATCTTCCCTAGTGTTATGGTTTTAAATATATGGGATTTAAAACAGTTCTATGTATATTGATAAATTTATGAACTTTTGCAAATAATTTGAAATTGGTTTGAAATTTAATATTATTTACAACTTACACATTTTTTTTTGGTTGTGATGGTGATGGCGTTTTTGATGGTCTTCCTCGTCCTTTCTGTGGTGTGGATTGTGTGGATTCAACTGCACTAGTTTCAGGAGACTCTGCTCTGCTTTGGGGAAGACCCAAATGTGGATAATATCAAATTATGATTTACAATAGAGTGACTAAATCTATGCAGAGTTCAGAGTCACACATAATTACCTCTGTTGAGCTCTTCTTGATGCTCGGTGCTGCTTGCTTTTTGACTTCTGTTCTGTGTTTCCACTTTGTCTTTCCTCTTCCTCCTCCTCTTCTGTTGTCGAAGGTCCAGACTTTTTTTTGTTTCCTTTTTTAGAAGTTTTTATTGTTGGTTCTTCTTTGGGGGTCCCTCCACCAATAGGTTTTGGTGGTCGGCCCCTTTTACCTTTTTTTGGTGGACTATTCTGTTCATCCTCATTTTCTAGTATATCTTCCTTGAGCCTTTTTTCCTCAGACCACTGCTGTTCATCAGATTCTGAAGCTGTATGGCCTCTCTTCCGTCCACGCTGACTACCTTTAGGTTTCTGTTCCTGTACCAATTTAGTCAGGTCATCCAAACCTAACTTCTCTTCTGAATCTGTGACAGTTGTTTTTTTCCGGCTTCTAGGCTTATCCAATTCAGACTAGAAATAAATGTCACAATTTCAAACATAAAATTTTATTACACATTAATCTGAAGAATGAAACCAAAAAGTTGTTACCCACTTCTGTTAAATTTTCCATACACACACATACATAAAACACAAATACATATGGCTGATGTGCTGAGTTAATATGAATAGGTTTGCAACAATTTACATTCTTAAAAATCAGTGGAAAAAAAATCAGCGGGAAAAAAGTCAAATTATCTGAGTACCTTTTTTGTGTTTCATTAGTCATTAGCATTTAATTATGTTCTTGGTATTATGCCCATTTTCCTATTTGTTTACTGGAATTTTATTTTTTAATCTACAGTCTTCTATACTTTTGTGTTATCTTTAAATTTTATTTTCTATATATTATGGACTGAATTGTGTTCCCACAAAATTCAGATGCCGAAGTTGTAACTCTTAATGTGACAGTATGCAGGGATGGTGCTTTTAGGAGGTACTTCAGTTGAGATGAAATCATGATGGTGGGGGTCTGATGATGGGATTATTGCCCGTCAAAGAGAAGCACCAGAAAGCCCTCTCTCTGTATTTCTTTCCCCATCATGTGAGGACTCAGTAAGAAGGTGGGCCCCTGCAAATGAGAAAAGAGCTCTCATTTAAATTAAATTGGCTAGTACTTTATCTTGAACTTCCAAAACTCCAGAAATATTAGAAAAGAAACTTCTATAAAGACTCCCAGTATATGGCATTTTTTTATGGCTGCGTGAACTTATTTAAACATTATTTTATCTGGTTTTAGAATGCGATGTTAGATGAGGTCCTAAATTGTTTTTCCTCCCATCCCCCCAAAAGACTGATTTGTATGCTTCCTTCATTTTGCATTATGTTTCTAAAAATAAGACTGTTTCTAGGCTATTGTAAGAGTAGCACAGTGTGTTGTTATTATAACTAGATATGTTTGTGTCTGGCTGGGTTGATCTTATTATTAATCCTCTTTTCTGTATTCACTCATTCTTCCACATGGACATAAAAATCACACTGAAATTCTAACAATTATATAGTCATTTAGAAAGAACAGTCATCTTTTTAAATTTATTTTTCCCATGCAAGAAAAAAACATGTCTTCTCTCTCTTCAAGTCTTCTTAATTTTCTCAATTTTGACATTTCCTCCACAAAGGTTACATTTTCCCTACTTCTTTTTAAGGTTATGTTTAGATCTGTCTATCTAATTTTGTTTTTTGTAGTTGTCACTGTAGTAAATTCCCTTTCTCCCAAGGCTTTACTTAATATAAAATTAAATTACCAGAGTAAAGTTAGCCACATATATATATGTGTGTGTGTGTGTGTGTATATATAATATATGTATGTAAATGACTATCATGCTAAATTCTTAGTATTTCAATTCTCTAAGTATATAAAAATGAAAATACATGCATCTGCATTTTTCATTATTACACTTTAGATACCTAGTTCATGTCTTCCTAAATTAGTCAAAATAATAGTGGTGAAAGCTGCTTGTTTTGATCCCAATTATTAATAAGACTACTTCAAGTATTTATTTTGCCTTTAAGTAGAATGACTAAATTAGTGACTACTAATTAAAACAAAATTTTTAGCATGTTAAGGAAGCATCCTTCTAGTATTGGTTTGCTAATAATTCATATCTGTCATGAATAATTTTAAATTTTACGTCATTTTGGCATGATCAGAGACTTTCTTTTTAGTGCTTTTTTATTTGGCATACTGATTTACTGTATTATATTAATGATTTATTAGCACTAAATTATCCTTATATGCCAGGAAAAATATAAAACCTTTGACTGATTTTAACTTGCAAAATTAACAAACTTACATAAATTAAAAATTTATACATAAAGATAAAATTGCCCAGAAATGGAAAGATAGGAAGAATGTTAAATTAAAACTAAATTTGAAATGCCACCTTCAATTTTACAATGTTACAATTCATTTTAATGTCCAACGTTCTGAAAAAGTGTTTGAATTCATTGGGAAACTTGAGTTCCTTTGAAAAGGCTGGTGGAAAACAAGAAATTCAATGTTGGGATTTTTTTTTTAAGAATACCATAAAATAATCTAGTTTCCTAAAGCACTACATTCTGTAATTTCTTTTTTAGTTCACACTATGTCATTTTAAGAACAGAGGAAATATAAAATTGAAGCTAGGAAGCAGAAAATGGGGGAAATATGCTATCTATAAAACTAAATATTTTAATATAATGGTATATGGACAATAATTCCTTTCCTGTAAAATTTCAATGTGAAAAGCTGGTGGGGTGCAAAGACAATGGTACTCTTTCACTATAACCTATTGGCCTTTAATTAGAACTTCTGTCTCATAATGTTCACCTCCTTTGAGGCTATTTCAGCTAAAACTAGTTTATTAGTATGGTTCTTGTAGAACTTCTAAAAAATGAACATCATGTCACATGACAGATAGCAAAAGGTCTCCAATGTAATTATAAAAATAAAAGTCAAAAGCTCAGAATTTAAAAACAGTCCTACGAACCATAGAGACTTTATTCTATATTACTCCAAAAGATAGACTGAGGAACAGAATTTGTAAGATAAATATTAAGAATTAATACGAAATCATGTTTCCCAAAATTTTTGGAAGGGATAGGCAAGGGGAGGAATATGCAGGTGTGGGAATGAATGGGTGGCCTAACTGATTTTCCCAACAAATGAGAGATATTATGAGCTCTCCACTTAACGCATTTCAAGCATATGGTAACCACTCTCATTAATGATAATAAAAAATTTCTGCACTAAGTGACAAGTAGGACTAGAAGACATAAATACCTTTTCCAATTCAAGGATTCTCTTCTATAAATCCAGATAACAGGATTCCTTTCTGGCTAAGCGATCAATTTTTAATTCTGGTTGGGTGAAATTTTTAAACAGCCAATAAAAATCAGAATTTAAAATTTTAAATGGAAAGAGAATTAATCTGGCAAAATAATTACTAAAGATATGTGAAAATAACTTAAACCTCTTGGTGTATGTAATGATGGTCCAGTGGAAGACAAATAGGAAAGTAATATTCAGAGAAAGTCAAGTTATTTATTACTAACCTTCCACCACTATTAATCCAGTAGATTCAAACACATTAACTTATGGTCATTATTTATCAAAAATATTAATCATTAGAAAAACAATAAAACAGCAGCATAAGCAATTCATTTTGGACAATTCACTTATTCTGATAGACCTTACCCAGTTAAGTATCCAGATTTTACAGATAAAAGAAACTGACTCAAAAGTCTCATCAACTGTTTATAGGGTTAACCTAGAAAATCAAAATACTCCCAATTTTAAGGCCATCAGGTTGTGTTTGAATGTATAACTATATTCTATACTTGCATTAAAAACTAACGAATTTGTCTTCTAAAGATAGATGCAAATTATGTCTATCATACAAGTTATTACTGCGAGTAAGACTTAAAAACGCAACAGGGACTTTACAAGAATTACAGCATTTCCTACTTTTACTAGCTGCTTATTTAAGTAATTAAATGCTCAAGAATCAATCAAAATGGAGGAGCTCTTAAGGACCCTCATTCTAGTGCCCTGCTCTAAAACTAAGTCTAAATTTATTGTGTTTTTAAAAAAGCAGAAGTAATTTGTTCTGAGTATGAAATTGGCATGTTTGATTTCAAAGATCTAAGAAATAAAGATTACTTATTTGAATGACAAGAAACACAAAAGACTCAATATACTGAAATAACAGGTGGAAGAGAAACTCAGATTTACAATTAAAACCATTGAAAGAAAATGAAATGCCAAATTTAAGAGTAACATTAACTTGTATCAGTGTAAAAATATGATTAAGAGTAAAATTATTATTAAAATTGTTATGAAATCAAACCAAGTATCTCACCCTTACAAGATCAGAGTCGTCTCTCTTGTCATTTTTTTTTCCTGGCAAAGGTGAAGACATGGTATAATCTTCATTTTCACTGTGATCCATTTCAGAACTATCAAGCCTTTGAATAGACATTTGCAATTGCTATTACAATCACAAAAGCATACAAGCCTTTTCTGTTCCCTAGTGTAGCTTTATAGCTTTACAAGAAAAAGTGTCACTCTTTTTCAAAAAGTATCAGCTGTAGCCTATCAAATTTAGCATTAATCAACAAGCAATGAAGCACATTAAATTTATTACAGGGGGGATTCCCTGGTCGCGCAGGGGTTAAAGTCTCAGCACTATCAAGCTATTCTCCAGCCACTGCAGCATGAATTTGATCCCTGGCCAGGAAGCTAACCCACATGGCACAGCAGACCTCTCCTATCTTGCCCACTGCTCCCCTCAGCAGTGTGTCTCAGTAGATTCACCTGTTCTGCTCCCCACGCTGTCTCTGGTGACTCCTCTCATCCTCACCTCTGGCCTACACCCCAGTTCTTGTATGCATAAATCAAAATAAAGTTTTAAAAAAATTTATTACAGGAAAATAAAAAAAATTACAAATTTAATTTTTCCCCTAAGTCTTTTTTTTTTTTTTTTTTTTTTTTTATATAGAGGCATGTTTTTTTTTTTTTTCTTTCTTTCTTTCTTTATTTGTTTGTTTTTGTTTATACATGCACTGGGTACAGTCAGAAGCGCGGGAGGGTGAGAGAATTCACCAGAGCCAGAGCAGGGAGCAGAGCAGGCAGAAGGACCGAAGTACACTGCTGAGGGGAGCAGCGGGCGGCAGGAGAGGTCTGCGCGCCATGTGGGACCCTCCTCTGGTGGCCGGGGAGCAGCCGGGGATCGAACCGTTGCCGCAGAGGCCGTGGGCAGCTTCGCAACCCAGCGCTCAACCGCTGCGCCACCGGGGAGGCCCTCCCCTAAGTCTTTTTAAAACCTAAATTCTATTTATTAGTGGGAACATAGAGCAAATCAGAACTTTTCTTGTTAACAAGTTGGGCTGGCCTAGCTTACAAATCTTCCCTGTTCCCTGCCTCTCTCTTATCCTCATTCCACATTTTTTTCTCTCTGTAGCATTTTACACCCTCTATCATACTACAGTTTCTATATTATTATAATTACTGGTTATCTTTCCCTGCAAGAATGTAACCATGGATCTTTTGTCAATTTTACTAATAAACACTTGGCTCAGTATCTGAAATAGAGTAGGTACTCAATAAATACTCAATAAATACCATTTATATACATTGCTGAACCCTAAATTTCAATCTCTGGCCCAGAAACCCAAGTTCTAGACTCACATATCCAATTGCCCACTAAACACTTCAATTGAGTTTCCAATGGCATCTCAACTTTAAAACAGACAAAACAGATGTTTGGACACGCTTCTTTTCCCAACTTGCACAAAATACCCATGCACGCACACACACACAGTTCCTTCACAATGCTTCTACATCATATAAAATGTCACCATATTTTAAACTCATGTACATGGTAAAAAAGAAATTCAAAGCATACCAGAGTATAAAGTGATCTCTCTACCAGATAACCATATTAAGATGTTGAGTGCTCTTCAAAACCTTTTTGTACATTAATAAGCAAATGAAAATACATCTCCAAAATGCAAAGATACCCTAACAGTGGTCTAATTCCTTGCCTTTTTCATTCAAAGTATTGTTATAACTCTTCCATACTAACTCATACCTCATCATTTTCAATGACTGTTTTCCATTTTGGATGTACAATAATTTGAGTTTTATAACTGCTAAACATTTAGGAACTAGCTATTGCCACCAACACAGCTTACCCCCACAAGTTAAAATAGGAAAGGCTAAAACAGAATACCAACTAAAATGAGTGAGCAAATAAATATAAACTTGCAAATAGTTAAAATGTTTAAATGGAATGTTCAAGTATGCATTAATTTCCATTCAGTGCGATTAAATGTCTTGGGTTACATTATTTTAGCTCTCATAGGCTTGTTGGAATCCTTAAATGTTACATACCTCCCTTTAATTCTTCCAGGAGAACTTGGATTTGAGCTGCTACTTGCATTGCTTACAGTTTCCATTCGTGAAGATTTTGTCTGAGACTGTTTGCCTGCTGATGAAAGTGGCTTATTAACAGCTCCTAGAACATTGGTTGTTTTTGGCTGGAAGGAAAAAAATATGTATCTCCTTTTATTTGATTAATGTCAAGAGAAATATAAAGAACCATATAAACAGTAATTTTACTATTGATGTAAACCAAAGGATTTACATACGAAACATGAAAAATGTGCCTATCTTTAAACAAAACAAAGATTATAAACGGAATTCACTTAAACAAATAAAAAATTACATAGACAGGCTAACAGCAAAATTTCTTAGTTAATGTAAGGAAAGGCTCACATAGAAAGTGAAAACAAGTGTGATATGTAGTCAACAATGAAAACAGATTATCAGGCTCTTGGTATGGAAGGACGTAAGATATCCTTTATAAGATTTTTTATATATAAGATTTTATCATGATATTACACTAGAATAGGATAGGATAAGATAGGATATTTAAGGACTAGGTGTCCACAGCTTTATTATAATCTAAAATATAAGTTCATGTATTTTAGTTCAGCCTGCACCTACATAATAAACACAACTATTTCCTACTAGTAAATGGGAAATACCTAATAATTATAATTTCTACCATGAGATTAAACAATTTCTAAATACAAATTAACATAATAATGCCACTAATCACACAAAAATAAACCACCACAAAGAAGTTAGAACAATTCCCAAAACATACTTTTCCAGGAGTAAAAAACGATTTCATTTCTGGAGGCAGATAATTTTTGGTGTTACTGAAGTTCTACAAGCAAGGGAAAAGATGTAGTTGGTAAATATTGAAACAATGTATCTACGAGGTGTTCAAAACTACAAAAATCATACAGTAAATTTTCTTTAAAATACAAAATAAAATACATCTTTATTTAGCTATATAATTAGTTGAAACACAGAATTTCAGTCATTAATTTTAAATATTATAATAAGCACAAACTAATCAAATACCACCTATAATAGTAACAAAAATATAAAGTTGAGCTCCAACATGCAAAAATTCTAAGAGCGCATCAGAAAACACAGGCTTCTATAAAAACACTCTCCAAGAAAAGATTATCCTAACTACACCAATGTGTATGCTTAGAGCAGTCCTTTTTATCTATTGGTTGAAACTACAAAGGATGTTCCAAATCTCCATACAATGGCAAGACCTTAACTGGTATTTTGCTGGGGGTGGGGAGGAGAGGATACTGGTTATTTTCATACTCTCAGTTATTTACTACTACATTATGAACCTCTAAGAGAAATTCTGGAAAACCCACCTTTTACATCTTATACAATAATTGAATTGAGAATGTTCTGAAACAATCTTGTGTTTCAGGGTCTTGGGCCTCTTCCATAGTTAGTTCGTTTCACTTCCTCATAACCAGTTATAAGTCTCAACTGAGGGTTAATAACTTTAGACAGCATTTTTACCCCAAATTCTCCTTCTCATTTTGGATGAATGGCTATTAAACTCACATATTTACATGTGTGATCATACTTTTGCTTTTTCTTGTAGACTGGGTATAAACCTTTGAAACAAACTAAATTATCTTAAATCTCTAAAACTTACGTATGTCCTTCAGTTTGGCCCATATTCTGTTCTTAAGCCACATTTTAAGACTCATGGCAACCTTTTCATGATATATGGGACAGTTCTTGATAACAATCCTTCCTGATCTTCCAACATCTTGAGAGTACTTTTTATTTCAACTTACACAAATTCTAAAATAACTACCTTATCAGGCTGGGTGAAAAAACGAGCTGGTAGTACCGGGTCTTTAGGAGATTCCAAACTGTATGTGGTGCTCTTTGACATGATGATATTCATGGCAACATCACACACAGTGTACAGTTTCTGCAATGGTATTTTAAAAAAATTAGATACTTAAGTTGTATCCTAAATTCTCTGAATTAGGAGTAATTTGAAAACATGAATTAGTGGGTTTTTTCCCAGTACAATAGTGTAAGTTAAAATGTTTACACTGACCATTCTTTATATTATTATTAGTTTACTGATAAAGACATTACTACTAATTCTGTATTAGTAATTTGATGTATGTCTAATAACTACTAGTAGAAAGAATGGTGTTTACAAACACTACAGAAGTTTCATACTCTACTCTCAAATGTTGAAAGTGACATGGAATCATAACGATTTATAAAGAATTACTTACTTCATTCATTTTTGCATCATCTGGTCCTTGGGCATCTTTTGTTTGTTTAATATTTTCTACCATCTTTCTGATAAATGCATGGCTGTTATTTTCATTTTTAGCCATCAATATTTCCAGAACAAACCAAAGACATCTTGAAAGCAAAAAAGAAAAATTAGCTGTTAAATACAAAAAAGCCAATGTCACAAATGCATATCATTTCAACAATGTAAGTAATCCCCCCTTCTCGAAGTCTAATTTTCCTACCGAAATAATTTAAAAAGGAATTTAAAGGGTGGAAAGAATGAAGTGATCTTAACCCTTTAACTATGACAGGGAGGGAAGACTGCCTAAAGGAATCACTAGAGCATAAAATAAAGCCTCAAATAATCAAGACTGACTATATCCCTGACTGAAAGCCTTTAAGAAAATATAACTTCCTTACTCAATAATTAAGAATTTATTTATCAAAAATTAGAGAGTAAGAAGTCATGGTTGAAAACTACACACACTATATTTGCTTAAGGAGAGAAAAATTAAAAGACAGTTTCAGTAGCTCAATTTTAGAGTTAGTTATATAAAATTCAGTCCAATTAAAAAAAAAACCAAAAGTGCTTTGTCTCTAGTCTTATACAGAAAAAAAGGAATACCTATAGCACCAAGAAGAAAAGCAATGGGATAAGAGAAGGGCAATGTAAAGTAAGGTATCATTCCAGAAGGGGAAAAAATATGTCAGATATAGGATAAATTCTTCTGGAGTGTATATAAGATAGAATGGAGACTACTCACTGATGTACAGGGACAATTTGGAAATACAATAAACAAAGTTTACCAACTTCTAAAACATACATCATCTATTTCAAAAAAATCAACATTCTCTGACAAAGAGGGGTGGCTAGTTTTCATTAGTTATAATCATTCTCACTCAGAATTCATTTTGGGAGAAATAATTTCTTTAATCTTAAAAAACAGAAATTGTGGCAGAAAGGAGATTTTCCCTTGCCATGAGAAGTTATCAGTAGTTTGATTTCATTTCTCCTGAGGGTCTCAAATATTTGACTATAAAATATTTAAGAATTAAGAAACCAAACGTTATTTTCCTTTAATAGGAAGCTAAAAGTATAATAATTTATTCAAAACCACAAAAATCATCCTTTATTATAACAGAATGTGGGCCAGGGTCTCCACCTGAAGAACTATGCTGGTCTTATAAAGGTTTCACAAAATATCATTATATTCTCCTTTTCCAAGCCCAAGCATATATACGCTTTCAGTCTCTGACAATAATATTTGAAAAAAATTACAACCATCATAAACTATAATTAAAGAATCAACAATAAAGTAGTAAAAGGAAGTAATTCCCTGGTTATCAATTTTGCCATTGTTAAATTAGACCATTCTCTCTTCCTTATAGAGGATGATAAATACCGCAAAGAAAATACCCTTATTATCTAAATTAAAGAGCATTCATTCATTTCATATGTAAATCTATAGTTTCCGATCAAAATAGGAAAAGATAAAAACTGAATGGAAACTTTTAATGAATTGTTTCAATAGAAAAGAAATGTCACACTTTTTTAGAAAGGCAATAGAGCAGTAGTACAATTATACTAAGCTGAGGTTTTGGGAAAATATTTAAGAAATGAAATATGAAAAGAAGAAAAAATAAATCATGAAAAGAATCTTAAATGCAAAAGGAATGAAATAAATCTAATTAATTATGAATGAGTCCATTATTATCAGGAAAGAGAAAAAACTTTGAGAAAATATGAAAATAGGATGACAAATGTCTTACTCTTTAACATCTTTAAGCTGTTCAATATCCTGTACTTTGACATAATCTGGGTCATGTGCCAAAAGGTGAATTGTGTATGGAACAACATACTCTGGAAGTAGAGACAATAATTTTTCTGAAAAAAAAGGGGAAAAAAGAAACATCCAGGTTAGAAAACCAAATTTACTCATTCATTGTTTGTCTATTTGCCTCTCTAATACTATACTTCCTGTATCCCAGTAGTTTACTACATTAAGGCTAGAAAAATATATATATATTGGAATACCCAGAGCTGAGGTACCTCATAAATTAAAGTTTATTCTTTCATCCATCATGTCCAATACTGAAATGCCCCCTAAATGCACCATGTACTAAGACTACAAAGATAAGTATTATAGTTTTCAAATACATATGGGAAAAGTAATCCAAACAAACTATGTCAAGACTAAGAGGCTTAAGAACTAATTTTCTTACTATAATAAGCAACCTCAACACTCTTATAAGCTGCTGGGCAAAATGAAAAAAACTAGTAAATCTTTCAAAGTTAGTTTGGCACGAAAATGGGAACTAAAGGTTGATAGTGTTTGTAACAGAAGAACAGATATAAAGGAGTAGACTTTAAAAGCTTCTGGGACATTTTCAATAATAAAGAAATATCACCTTACTTTACATTCAAGTACTTTTTTGTATTTTGACTGATTATCAGCATATTGTATTAGAGGTCAGAATGATAATCCCAACTAGCTTTATTAAAGGTAATTCAGAAGACTTAGGATTCATATTCTGAACATTCTGCCTATATTTCCTTTCAAAATAAAATTTCAAACCAATGTTCAACATGAAGGATAATAATCTATGTACGAAAAGACAAATTTTCTTTACTTCTATTGGTATTTTTAGGTAATACCAATTTCAAGGTAGATATAGAAGACAAAAAGTAACAAGGGCTCAAAATTCTGTTAAATTTAAATGAAAGTCTGTTAAATATTTACTAAGTGATTACTATTTTCTAGGCTTACTATTTTTATTGGGGCTTACTATTTTAAACAAAGATGAATAAGAGTAGAGAAAGAGTGAACTAAAACATAAACAGAAACAGAAGCTATACTTCAACGCAGAACTGCTATAAAAATAGCTAACAACTACTGAGCACTTTTATTGACCGTGCATTATACCAGATGCTTTATATGCATGACTCTTTAATACTCATAACAACTATAATAAATGAGTATAATTATACCAATTTTACAAATGAGGAAACTGAGACACATATTACTAAAATATCCTGCCCAAACACAACCATTAAATGGCAGAGGTGTGACTTGACTTCAGAGTCCTGACTTTTTTTCAAAGTAAGGAATGAAGAGAAAGAAAGAGGGTTACAGTGATACAGTAATAACAAAACTGTATCTTAAAAGACTCAAAATGGGTAAACATAGTCTTTAGCTTTCCTAGTTTGTCTGGAATGAGGAAGTGATTTCCAGGTAAGTGTTGACAACAGAGGAGAAAAGCTGTCAGCATAAATTTCAAATAGTGCAGAGGAAAAGGAACACAGAATTTATAGTTACAGAGAGAGCAGAGACAAAACTTAAAACTCAGGCTGGAGACAATCTATAACGGGCCATGCAGATGAGTTTCAACTTGATCCTAAGAGCAATGAAAAATCAACATGAATTTCAAGCAAGGAAGTGATACAATCCAATTTGCTTTAGAAGATAATTTTGATAGTTGTGTCGCACAGCTAGCGCTGGGTCAGAGATGGGGAAACATTTAGAATATGAAGGTAGTCAAGAGTGTATATAATACTCTAAGTGAAATACAGGAAGACAGAAGAGTTGAGAAGAGGTGAATTCAAGATATCCAGTGGAGGAATAAAAGGATTTCATTAACAATGAGAGGAAAAAAGAAGGTATAAGAAATGTCTCTGACTTCTGACTTGTTAACTGGACTAATTTTAATGTTGTTGAACAAGTTGTAGAAATCAAAAACACAAAACTAATTACATGAATGTGATAAAGTAAGCAGATTTAAAATACGCACACAAGCACCTGATATTCTATCAGTTACATGTGAGAACAATCTTTGAAGTTCTAAGATCTATAGTCTTTATTATAAATTAATACATTTTACTGCTCTAATAAAGGTACCTCCAATGTCACTATTTCCCTTGACCATTTAATCAGTTATAGAGAGAGATGTTGATTTAAATTTGCATTTGGGGCCTCCCTTGGTGGCACAGCAGTTGAGCGCTGGGCTACGAAGCTGCCCGCAACCTCTGCAGCGCTGGTTCAATCCCAGCCACCGGTGAGGGTACCACATGGCACAACAGACCTCTCCTGCTGCGCCCACTGTTCCCCTAAGCGGTGTATTTCGTCACTCTGCCTGTTCTGTTCCCTGCTCTGGCTCTGGGGAATTCTCTTACCCTCCCGCACTTCTGACTGTACCCGGTGCTTGTATGAATAAATAAATCAATCTTAAAATAAATAAATAAATAAATGTGCATTTGTATTTTTTAAATAACCTTTTAAAGGGGAAAGCTATTATTGAAAAAGTCATTTAGAATTTAATGAGTACCAATGAGAATATAATAAATAACAGTAGCATCATTTTGTGTTCCATAAATCTAAAATTGAAAGTCTGTTAAAACTGGAAAGTTTTACTTTTCACATTCTTATATGCTTACCACTAACAGCAGCATGCTGCTTCAGATACTCGCGTCTCACATTTATATTTTTTACAAGACACTGCCTGGCATGAGCTCTTCTCTCTTTTACAGGATCTTTTGCACAAAGTGCACAGATGGCCATATATTCAAGTGGAAGCCGTAATCGGGAAAGGCCTTTGTGAAGTTTCTGAGCAAATACTTGTCTTACTTGATAGCATTCATCCTGTGAAGACATAATTTTCCACGTATTATTCACCTGGCAGCAAAAGAGTAAAAAATAATTTGGGTACAAAATATGCTACATCAAGTAACCAAAAGGCTAAACAGACAAAATTTTATTTACAACCCATTTCTTCTGCTTACATGATTGAGATGCTGAGCCAAATTATTTTAAGACTGAGTGGCGTGTTCACCTGGGTTCTAATTATTACCATTTAACTGATGTTAGAAATCACTTAATGTACTTTTAGAACAAATAAAACAAGTAACTATAAATACATCATAACTTAAAAAAGGTATGAAAGTTTAAACACTCTCATATTAGGTTTCTTCATTTACTGAACAGGATAAAATTCTGTCTAATTTTATGTATTGTAATTCTATTATTTTAAAAAAAATCATCAGGATTAAAATGTAGAACTCTAAGAGCAAGAGTTACTAATCAACTTCAAAAACTCCAAACTATTTTAGTTCTGTATTAACCATCTGTTCATTACCACTGTGCCTGCTTTCCTACTCTTAAACCACCCACCTCCATTTTACTTTACGCCTCCTTATCCTTAGTGACAGTTCCTATTTCTTCCAGAAAGCACTGTGTAATCTTCTTATCCTGTATTCTCCTCTGTGCTTTAACACTCTATGCGTATCTTCACCATAACAAAATTAGTACACAGTATTATATGATTGGTGTATGTGTAAGCCTTAGCCATTGTTGCTCATTCCTTGAAGATAAGAACTATGTTTTTACTCATCTTTGTGCCTCTACACATAGTCTACAATATCTGGTACAATAAATTATCATTTTTTTTAAACTACAGGGAAAAGCTCAATATAACTTCTGAATGATATATATAACATACAAAGACCTTTAGAGTTACACCTTATCCTCTACCAGTTAACACAAGTTATGGTTTGTTCCATATTACTGGAACATTATGTATACTATTTCTTCTAGGAAAACATTAATTTCATTTTTCTTCAAAACCTATGTCATAACAACTCTAAATCCTTATTGTGTGTGTTTTCCATTGAATTGAACTCCAGTTTACTATAATATAAATAACTTTCTAAAAGATATTCTAGTTTTCTCAGAAATATTTCTATTATCTAACCTCACATTCAACAGAACAAAGTTAACGTAATTCACTCATCTCTCAGTATTACTCTCCAGGGAAAGAAAAGTCTTGATTATACAACTATTTATGAAAATACCCACTTAAAAACTACATAAAAGTTAACATCACAAATATGACCATGTCATTCAATACAAAACCTCCATTCAAATATCATTTAGATGTTTTACAATCTAAACCAAAACCATGCCTTTGTTCCTTTCTCAATAATCCTTCAGGACCCAACAATACAAAGGAAATTAATCACAAAGTCAATTTGAGACTCATGGCATTAAAAAAAAAAATCAAGTCATATTAAAATGATATTAAAGAGTAACTATCAAAGCAATTTAGAGAGTTGATGACAAAAAGAAAATGTGGGGCCTCCCCGGTGGCGCAGCGGTTGAGCGCTGGGTTGCGAAGCTGCCCGCGGCCTCTGCGGCGCCAGTTCGATCCCCGGCTACTCCCCAGACACCGGAGAAGGATCCCACATGGCGCGCAGACCTCTCCTGCCGCCCGCTGCTCCCCTCAGCAGTGTACTTCGGTCCTTCTGCCTGCTCTGCTCCCCGCTCTGGCTCTGGTGAGTTCTCTCACCCTCCCGCGCTTCTGACTGTACCCAGTGCATGTATAAACAAAACAAAAAAACAAACAAATAAATAAATAACATGCCTCTATGAAAAAAAAATTAAAAAAAAAAAAAGAAAATGTGACAACAGTGATGATATAATAGATATAGCAAAAGAATTAGCTAAATAAAGACTTAAAAGAGGTACTTCAGGGAACTGAGGAAATCTTTAATGTTTGCTTAACAAACATTGATTGTGTTATAAGAGTTAAATGTGAAGTGAATAATAATCTGTATCAGAAAAAAATACAACCTCAAAAAAACAAACACTTGACTCTTCCATGATTATGGTTATAACCAATAAGTGCTTCAATAGTAGGAAAAGATGGTGTTTAACACTAAAAATATTTCCCCCCAAGATAAAGTTCTAATCAAAGTTTATATTCACCACTACAAAATTAATTTTAAACTGTATCTTAAAGTAAATTCACTTTTTTGGCCTTTTCTAGTACAATTATTCTCAGAACTATTTCTACTACCTTGCAAATAGTTCAATTACTTTGTGTGCACTGCACTGTAGTATTTGAATAAGAACAAGTTTTGTGGAAACTGTATCTGAGTTTTGATTCGCAGAAATAGTTGGATTTGGATGTGTGGAAATGGGAGGAAGCAAACTACAAGCACATAAAATTGTTAGCTTCACTGAGAGCAGATAAAGAGCAGTGTAAAAAACAAGATTTTTAAATGCATATTTGGGTCCAAGTATTAGAAGATGTGATTTTTTTCTTTGAGTATAAATTCTTAAATATTTTTGACCACAGGAATAACATGATCAAAACTGTGATAGTGAAATTTATCTAATAGTAGAGAAATCCACAATAGTCTAAGTGAGAGCTAATGATGTTACAGCATTAAGAATGGTTAAGAAAGTATGAATAAAAAAGATGCACCACTAGATATCACAGGAAATAATTATCTGTACTTCTGCAGTGAGATATAAAGCCAACCAATAGTCAAATATAAATCATGCATTTAGGTCTAAGAAATGCCATTCAAACTTACTTAACACTTATTGAAACTGTACATGTCAGGAAAGAATTGAGAAAGACTATGAATTCAGTCTTAAATTCACAGAATTTAAATGTTTGAAATTTCTGGTTAACATTTGTTAGCGGGACCAAACTTGAAATGTTTCTAGTATAGGAGTCACCTATACAGAAAATAAGATGGCCAAAGAAGACTTTGTAAGTGGGAAAGCTGGTCATGGACAAATCCTCACAGAATATAGACATTTAAAGGGAAAGAGAGAATTATAACAAAAATCAAGAGACCAAAACCAAAAAAAAGAGCCACAAGAATACAGGTGCAATGAACTATGTCCAATGATGCAAAAAGGATGTGCACAATGAACATTAAGATCACTGGTTGGAAAACAAAAACAAACAATTACAAATCAGAGACACCCTGCAGGAGAGGAGGAGGAAGAGGGATCAGAGGGAGAGAGCAGGGGACGTGGTGATGGTGCACGGATGCATTGGTGAAGGAAATTCTATGGGGACCACACCTGAGGTGGGGGAGAAGCAAACATTGTTTAAAAATGAGCAATGATGTAAAAAATATGTAAAATAAATTAATTTTTAAAAAAATTTTAAAAATAAAAAAAAAATCACTGGTTGGAGGCTTTAATAGAGCATTTTTGAAAAAACAATGAAAGTAAATGCCAAAATGTGAGCAGAGAGGAGTGAAAAGATAAGAGGGTAAGAGAGACTCAGATTACTTTCTTAAGAGGTGGAGGTTTAAGAAGAAGACATAGGCATCTGGTTTAAAGAAATAGATTAAAGGCCTCCCTCGTGGCGCAAGGGGTTAAGCACCGCACTATGAAGCATCCATAGCTTCTGCAGCATGAGTTCGATCCCCAGCTGGCCAGGGAGCAACCCACATGGCGCAGCAGATCTCTCCTGCCTTGCCTGCTGCTCCTCTCAGCAGTGTACTTCAGTCAATCTGCCTATTCTGTTCCCCACTCTGTCTCTGGTGAATCCTCTCACCCCCCCACACCTCTGGCCTGTACCCCAGCTCTTGTATGCATAAATAAATTAATCTTTTTTTTAAAAAAAGAAAGAGATTAATTTGGGAAAATTCTCATTTACAGTGGGGTAACCTGGTATGTTTGCAGTGGTGAGATTAAGCTAATAATTAAACTTTAACCATTAACACATGTTCCACAGTTAACAGAATTCCAAAGCAATCTTAAAACTTAGGCAATCGTAACTTTCACCTTGGGAACTTGATGACTGAGATAGCAATATTACACAAATATTGTGCTACAAAAGAAAGTCTCTAGAATTTAAATGTCGGTGCTTTTTCACTCATTGTGGATATTTAATGGTCTGTATGAACTTATTATAGATAGTACATTTCAAACAAAGAGGATCTCTTTTTATGTATTTCCATACACTCTTCTTCTTATTTTACTTTTCACTTCCATACTAACAGCACCAATATCCTAAGAAATATCAGACCAAGAACCGATAAATCAACAGACTACAAGCATTATCAATTTGAAAAAGTAATTAAGCAGGTTTTCTTCCAGGAAAGTTAAAATATATGCTTCATAGTCTGATCCCTGATTTCCAGGGTCCTAGAAAGTCTATCAGGAGGGTAAAATAGGTCACCACTTGGTAAGTCCAGGACATTTTTGGACCCTTGACAAGGCAAGGAATTTATCCAGATACAGATACTGAAGCCAAAGTGTGATCGTGAGACTTTGGCATGGCTTCTGAGACAAGAGAACATTAAGAGATCAATCTGAGGTTTCTTATGAAAAGTTCCAGCAAAGCAGGTTAAGAATCTATATGGTTATTTCTGCACCTACTGTGCTTATGCAGGTCTAGTGTATTGGAACTAGATTTAATTTGAAAACTAATTCTACTGATTATTTGGCAGCATTGGAATGAAAGTAGACATGTTTACTGAAAAACATGTTTCTGTAATATACCTTTTAGTGGACATCAGATTCTTGTCCTCTTAATCATTTTCGGGTACTTATCCTTTACCTCTGTACTGGACTAAATCCTGAGTTTTTCTAAAATCTGCCTATGACTTTCCAAACTAACATTCCCAGGATTTTCTCTCCCTCACTTAGAATTATAAGAACTAAAATTTCCTTTTTCTGAAACCACACAATTTGGAGATGGAGAACTTGACATCAACTTCTGAAAGATCACCACTATGGTTGCGCATGAATAATCCTCATGAATGTTGAAATTTTCCAAAATACATAACATACATCAAACGACGAACAGGAAAACCATTATTTGCTTCTAAAGATCTTCACTGGCTCACCCAAGGTCTCCCAACTGAGCCTGTTGCTTGTTTAATATTTAACCTTTATTTGTCTTCTGTTTCCTCAGAAATGTCTATTATTGTGCTTATGACATAGTCTTAGCTTGGACCCCCTACAGGACTGCCTCCAGAAATTGCACACAACTATTAAATTAGGACTAATCTATTCCCAGGATTGACAGACTTATTATATGTAATAATTGAACAACTTAAGGTCTCAATTACAGGACTTCTAGAGAAGCTCCAGACACCAGACTGGAGAACAAAAATTTTCCACCCCAAAAAAGTGTTTTTGGCAAAATGTTTATTTCATGGAAGACTGCATCGAGTTCACCTTTTTGAAAAAGAGACTTTTCGGGGAAAATTCTTGTATAAAGGTATCTCCCACACTCTAATAGGCAAACCTAAATTTCATTTATTGCTTTTCAATAGACAAGACAGAACTTAAATTTGCATACCTTTATTTATACTTTCCTTTCCCTGGCAAACTCTTAAATAACCTTCCCCTAAAGCCCCTTGTCTTAGCTAAGCTATTTAAGATGGTATCTGAAGTGACATAAGTTACTCAGTTTTATTGGATCTCTCCCATGTATATATAAGTATACATGCTATTATTAAATTTGTTGCTTTTTTTCTCTTAAAAAGTACATATAAATTTTAAAACAATTTTTTTTTGAAAAATAAGATTTCTCTAAAGTTAAAGAAAACTAAACCATGAAATGAAGGGCTCCTTAAAATCTCATTTCTCAAATGATTTAGTCTAATATTTGAATAACAACAAAATAGGATTTGAAATTGACAAAATGATTACAACTAACAAAAAGATGAAGACAGGAGTTATATGTAAGTAGCAATTTTTAAATAAGCAGAAGAGAGGTGAAAAGAAAATATACAATAAGCCCTGAAATAAATGCCAAATTATTTTATATAAGATTGCTTGGGGGCCTCCCCGGTGGCGCAGCGGTTGAGCGCTGGGTTGCGAAGCTGCCCGCGGCCTCTGAGGCGCCGGTTCGATCCCCAGCTGCTTCCCGGCCACCGGAGGAGGGTCCCGCATGGCGTGCAGACCTCTCCTGCCGCCCGCTGCTCCCCTCAGCAGTGTACTTCGGTCCTTCTGCCTGCTCTGCTCCCCCCCGCTCTGGCTCTGGTGAATTCTCTCACCCTCCCGCGCTTCTGACTGTACCCAGTGCATGTATAAACAAACAAACAAACAAACAAACAAAGAAAACATGCCTCTATTAAAAAAAAAAAAAAAGATTGCTTGGAATAAGAAAAATGAGTGTGGAAAAAAACACATAATTGAAAAACTCATGTTGGAATATACTATTATAGAGTCCTTTTCTTAATAATGCTAAAAACTACCCAAAAAGTTATAGTTCAAATATTTTGTTACTCTAATATGGAATCTGTAGACTATGAATTCATTAATATCACTGTTAATAATTTGAAGACTTCTACAGACTTTCTCAGTAATAAGGAATGTTTATGACCTGAAATTAATCTATAGCTTCATAAAGCTATAAATTTCTATAGCTTTTCTTCAATTTAAGAACTAAATAAATTCAATCCTCTTTATTTGGATTCAAATTTAAGAATTCACCCTACTCAGTAAATTAATTTGTAATCCCCAACTCAATACTTACAGTGCTTTCACAGTCATTTGCAATGCAAGTCAACTACAAAATGTTGAGTGTCCTAACACAAGTTTCAGCTGAGATCAAACAAGGGACCTTTTGGTGACCTATTTTTAGTGCCACAGTTTTCACATTTTGGTACATTTTGTTGGTGATGTTGTTGTTTAAAATGGTTTCCAAACAGAGTGCTGAAGTTCTTTATAGTATTTATAAGTGCAAGGAGGGTATGATGTGCCTCATGGAGAAAATGCATGTCATTAGATAAGCTTCATTCAAGTATAAGCTATAGTACTGCTGGCCATGAATTTAATGTTAATGAAACAATATATTAAACAAGTGTTTTAAAATAGAAATATACATACATTTTAAAAAAGGTAAGAGTTGATCAATTGACAAAAATATTCTAACCAGAGGTTTACAGGAACCACCCTACGAGCAATGGTTTGATTTTTGCTAATTCAATCCTTGTAGTGACTTTACAGAACAGAACAGCTATAAATAACAAGAATCAACTTACTATGCTAGCAACTAAAAACTCAAATGATGAGTTTAGAATTCTGAAATGTTTCTCATGCATAAATTTTTCAAAAGGAAACATTTTATATCATTTTGACTTTTTTCTAAGAGTCAAGGATCATCTTCTACATAGCCATTTTCCTTACATTGATAGCTAATGCACATAGCTGATACTGTTCTAATGTGATGATTTCATGATAACATGGTTCTTGTGCCAGCTTCACAATAGCACTCCCAGCAGCAAGTCTCAGACGTGACATATCTGGTTTACTAAAAAATAAGCAAGAAAAAAAGTTATTTAGATTTTAATGACTGCACAAAAACATTACTACTTTGTGTATATGTAATTTTATAAAAATTCCTCCAAGCAAAAAAAGGTAGAAAATAATTTAGTGATACTGAACACACATGTTTACCAAGCTCTGAAATACAATAAATGCCCTAACTTGCTAATAGGTCAACTAACACAGCTGTGCTAAATAGAAGTAAAATGAAAGGTATAGTGGATAGAACATTACATTGCTTTTAGCTAGAATTCTACTTTTCAAATACTGCCAAGAGGCTTATTTTAAATTTAAGGAAAGAGAAAGTCCAGCAAAGTGGACACCAGTGGCAGAGTGAAGACACCAGCTGATCTCCTTTATATATTCACAAACAAATTACAATGAAACAGAGACAATAACCCCAGAAATATAAAAACTGACTATCATATATATCATGAGCAAAGGCAAGGTAGACAGGGGTTATGTATTTAGAGTGATTCAGGGGCAGCACAACTTATAAGGAAAGGGGGGCTACTATAGAGAGCCCCTTGGCTATTAACACAAAGGCACACATCCACATCTGGGACTTTAAAAACTGGCAGTACATTGGAGAAGGGGCTACAGAGTCAGAGTGTAGGGCAGAGAATGCACCACTAGAGAACTACAGGGGTAAGGCTGAAAAATGGAGATTACTGGCTTGAGCCTGAGGCTCCCAGACTACAACAGTCAAGAGTCCAAAGGTGGACCTCCTTATGGCACAAGGGGTTAAGTCTCAGCACTACAAAGCTATTTGCAACAAGAGTTCGATCCTCTGCCAGGGAGCTAATCCACATAGCACAGCAGACCTCTCCTGTCTCGCACATTGCTCCCCTAAGCAGTTTATGTCAGTAGATCTGCCTATTCTGCTCCCCACTCTGTCTCTAGTGAATCCTCTCACCATCCCCGCCCCGTTCCCTCACCTCTGGCCTACATTGCAGTTTTTGTATGCATAAATAAATCTCAACCAAAAAAAAAAAAAGGTCCAAAGGAGATCTGGCCACCTGTGTGTACTCAGAGAAGACACTGTATTTTGCAGCTTAACCTATAATATGCAAAATACCTACTGAATGTTCTTATTAACCAGAGTTTAAAGTCTGGATCCCATGGGAAGGCTCCTATTTGAAAATTTAAGAGAATAATTCTAGACTTGTAGCCCTATGTCAAGGACAATCCTTCACCCATCTCTGCATCTAGTGCTCAAGCTCAACCTAGGGGTTGAGGCTGAGACAAGATTATATAAGACATTTTGGCCCAGGAACTGGTACTCTGCTGCCCTGGATCCTTTCTATTACCTCTTAACAGCACCAGTGCCCCAGCAATTTATAAACAGATGCAAAGGAGTCACTCTATGAAGTGACACCTACAGACCCTGTGTAAAAAACCTAGGATTACACCCAGCTTCTATAGAAAGGGCATAAAGCCAATTATCAAGAAAAGGAAACTTATTAACCCCATAAAAACTAAAATTGAAGAGACAGAACATTATCATGAATGCTAGAAAAACCCCAAGAAAAAGCAAAAGCCCTGAGAAAAGTTTTAATCCAGAAATATGGAATATGAGGAAAGACAGTAAAATTAAGACTGGAAGTAACTGAACAGAAATCAAAAACTATACAAAAAGATCAATGAAACTAAGGGGTTGGTTCATCAAGATAAACAAAATCAAAACAGAATTAAATTATAAATGAAGAGGAGAAATTACTACAGATGACATCAGAATACAAAGGATCATAAGAGATTACAATGAACAACTATACTCCCACAAATTTGATAACCTTAAAGAAATGGATTTCTAAAACAATATAGTTAAACATGACTAAATCAGGAAGAAACAGAAGAGTTGAATAAAGTGATTACAATCATAGAATTGAAACAGAAATCAAAATTCTCCCCAAAGACAAAAGCCCAAGGACGGATAGTTTTACAAGCAAATTCTATCAAAACTTTAAAGAACTTAACATCCATCTTGCTCAAATTATTTCTAAAAGTCTAAGGGAGAATGCTCCCTAACACATTTCATGATGCCAACATCACCCTAATACAAAACCAGATACAGACAGCACTAGAAAGCTAAATTTAACAAAATAAAACTTCTGCTATATATGACAAAATTCATAGACCACTGAATATAAAAAAATCCTTCCCAATATAGTAATATATTGGATGAATTACAGAGATCTTGGGCTAATCTATGGATGGAAAGCTGTAATTCCTTAAGTAGGACCCCTTATAGTTCTATAGTAAAAGATAATTACTGGAGTTATACAAGTATTTGTCTATCACGGAGAGGGACCTGAAAAAAAACTACACAATCTTAGTCTCCCAGATCTAATGATTTTAGGTTTAAAATTCTTGCTTTATCTTTCTAAGGATAATGTAAGAATATTGAGTAAATGAATGCCAGCATTAATAAGGTTGTGAAGCTATATATCCCATATGTGCTTTTCCATTAATCAACAATTATTCCAAGCACCTACCACTTGGTAAATCACCCAACCACTGCCAAAGGAAAGTCAATTTTACTTGTTGGGATTTATTTTATATAAAAATATTATAATTTAATACTTTACAGCTGTTTTGAAGACCAGGTCTATATACATCCTTGTTTTAAAATTCAGAGCCAATATAATTTACATTCATATGCAGAATTCAAGTATACACTGGATTTTTTTTTTTAAGAATACTATGAATATAGACAGGTTAGACAAAGTTCAAATATGCACTTAAGTAATGCACATCATGAATTTAAGAGACAATATGTATTAATACTGGAGAAGTATTTTCCCAATTATGTAAATCTTAAGGACTGGCATGTATCAATTATGAAAGTAGAGGGGAAAGACAAGTTATGAGAGCAAAAGAAGGTAGAAATGACTGTACATGTGAAATGATTCACCAAGTTATATCTACTTGACTAATGTGAGATGGATGTGCTACTGTTAATAGTCTAATGCAAAAGTACAGATGAGCAAAACAGAGTAAAAATGAAGACAGAAAGGTAGAAAGCAGCTGGCAGTCATTTTTCAATATTTTGTCATTAAGTCTTAGATTTGTTAAGGGGTAGAGGTTATCTCATTTTTTGTTACCAGCAAGCCAAAAAATGGCAGCTGTGCTTTCAAAGAGGACAAATTTCAAAGTTTTTTAGCTAACCGTGACATAACCACTACCAATATAATCACTGCTAGCTGTTATATGTTAGGCAATGTTTCAAATATCTTAAATGTACTAATTTATTTAATTATCATAATAACTAAATGACATAGGTATTATCATTATTTCTATTTTATAGATGAGGAAAGTAAGGTATAGGGAGATTAATTTGCTAATGGTCACCAAATAGTAAGTGGTGAAGCCAGGATTTGAATCCAGGTTCCAGAGTTCATGTTTTCACTAACTATACTACAATATAACTTAAACAAAACAAACAACAAAGTGTGTGTTTTAAATAATTTACATCAGACGATATGGAGAGTGTTCAGGGTAGTTTGGTTAGATAGACTAAGCCTATAGCACTCAGTATTCCCAGGTGGTCTCCTCAAGTACATTTTTTAAACTGCACATACTTCTGGAAATAGATAAGTTGCCATCTATCCAGTCTGTTCTTTTACCTTTGGAGATTAACAAGAAGTAAAATATCAATTATTCACTGGTACACTAATATTTTCATCTTAGATATTTAATGAAGTTAACATCCATGATTTAAAATACATGCATTGTATTACAGCTCTTTGCACCAAATATGTGACTGCTATTTTGAAATGACTACTGCACAAAAGTGTATAATAAAAATATATGATTACCTACAAGAAGTGTAATACTACTTTTTTATAGAAACTACATCATTCAACAATTATACCAGATATTGAAATATTGAGAAATCCAAAGAACTCCAAAATAGTAATTACATACCTGATTTTCCCCTGTTCTGTCAAGTCTCCATCACTATGCAATATTGTTGTTAGCAATCTTAAGGTAGAAGTTCCTGACTTACTGTGATTATTTTTCATTCCAAGCAGCCACCGAACCATCATTTTAATAGCTTGAATCTATTTTAAAAAATTGACAATAAAACCTTGCTATATTTTAAAGAAACTCAGTATCGACCTTAAAAAATGAAGAAATGTTTAATGTATGCTTTAAAAAAGGGAAAAAAGTATTCTTTCCTGCATACATAAAGATAACTTTGAATGTTATAAATTAAAGATGTCTCACCCTTCCTAGGCAAGTGACGATGAAATTACTGAAGATGAGTTCTGATTTTATTTTTCTTTAACTTTCCCCAACTTACACTTTACCCTTTATAACCCAAAGTAAAATCATGCTAACTTCCCTACTCAGAAAAGTTAGGTTCCCAACTGCAAATTATATTCAATCTTTTGTGCCTGAGCAATCACCTCACAATTATACCACATTATGAAATATCTTAAAACCTATTTCTGTCTCTACAACAACTCTTGCTCAAGGAGAGCAGGTAATCTCTTTTTCATATACAAACTTATTACATATCTAAAGCTCAGGGACTAAGCAGGCCTTAAACAGTGTCATGTGGTAAACACTCTTAAGTTCTCTTTCCTGGACCACTTGGTAAACATGAACTTAAGTGAAGACGTCTGCTTTCTAGTTGACAGCTTCTCAAGTAACAAAACTACTGCAGATGACAAATACCAAGAAAATAAGTGTATATGAAATTCAAAGTATCAAGCATTATTCAGTGATGTTAAAGTAAGTGCTGCTCTCCAGACTGTAGAAACAGTACAGCAAAATCTGAAGCTGGAATACTGTGAAAAAGATATATAAACAAATACACATACTACAAAAGAGCTTATGAAACATAAAAATTAGAAAAACATCAATATTTTATATATTTGTTCCTTGCCTTTACGCCTGGACAGCGGATTGAAATTAGGTCTATACTACAAACTACAGATCATTGTAGTAAATCAATAATCTCTATCTAGTAATGAGCAAGCTTTATGTATAATTCCTAATTCAAGAATGAAATGAAATGAAATGAAAATAAAAACTCTGTTTAAGCCCCATGGAAAAGAGGAATAGTCTCAAAACCTGGATAACTATCTTAACTGAAAAGAATGTACAGATGAAAATCAACATTGTCTGCTGCCATTAAAAAGTTGTTATCTAGGGCCTCCCTGGTAGTGCAAGGAGTTAAGTTTCAGCACTATGAAGCTATTGGCAGCCACTACAGCAAGAGTTTGATCCCTGGCCAGGAAACAACCCACATGGCACAGCAGACCTCGCCTGTCTCGCCCGCTGCTCCCCTCAGCAGTGTATTTCAGTAGATCCACCTTTTCCGCTCCTCACTCTGTCTCTGGTGAATTCTCTCACCCCCTTGTACCTCTGGACTATACCCCAGCTGTTGTATGCATAAATAAATAAATTAAAAAAAAAAAAAAAAAAGCTGGTATCTGAGAAGTAGCAACATAAAGATAGATTCCCAACTTTTATCCCCTCAGATTATCTGCAACTTCCCACAAGATCATGGGTTTCTCTCATGGGTTTCATGTCCTCTCTCATAGCACATGAAATAATGTCATATAGCAAGCATAAAAATTTGAGTGCTTTTAATAGTGCTATCTTTATAATAGGAATACAAATTTAACACCTATAATTATATTACTAAAATTAAAAAAAAAAAGAATTAACAGGTCCGTGCATATTACTCACTTTGACCATTGTCTCAGGTGAAACTTCTTCATCTGGAACCCAAAGCTTAGTTGTCTTTTTTCCTGGAAGCTAAACATAAAGAGTTTTAAATATGGATGTGAATTTCTCTGTTTAACAGTGAATGAATGAAATTTTTACTATTCTGCAGTGATAAAGATCTATGTCTAACCCTATTACTAAATAGGGCAAATGGCTTGTCTTCATTAGCATCCCCATACAACATTTATATATCCATCACCAGTTGGTTCTTTTCTAGGGGTGAGATAGGACTTCAACCATTTGAGACTTACAATTCAGTTTATTTTAGGCAATTGGCAAGAACCACAATAATAACCAATGAAGACAAAAAGTGTAGTTCTTAAAAAAAAGGGAAAGTATATAAAAAAATTTCTGAGTGGGGGGGAAACTTAGATTGCAGTTGAAATAACAGAACACATGCATTAGTAGAGTCCTGCATAAATACCACCAAAATGGACACATAAACAGCACAGCTGGAAAAAGGAGCCTACAAGGCAGTCAGAACCACTGTAAAATTTTCAAAAAGAATATATTTAAAAAAGAAGAGGAGGAAGAATGGAGTTAATGGGCTTACATTTCTCCAAAATCTCAGAAGGAAAAACCCTTCAAAATTTTTTTGTCAGTATAATCACAGTACTCTAAGGTGACAACGTGTAAATACTGATAAGCATGAATTTATAGTGGCAATCAAGAAATTAAAGAGAAAAGGCTGAAGTACACAGAAGAGGAATTAATAGACAATAGTAATTAAGATAGGCCCTTAGTCTCCAAATCACACAAATCATAAGAGATCTAATATATACAATAATCTTGACAATTTCCCCACAAACTACTTTTCCATAACCAACTAAAAGTATTAGTAGAATTAAAATGCATTAATAGAATTGAAGAAAAAGGAGGGATATGAAAGACAGTAATGTAGCTATATATTTTAACAATTCTGATTATATTTTAAGAGGAGAAACTATCTCATATTTCTTCTAATTCTCCAGAGAAGGTGGTGTAGTGTTGAGTACACAGCAGACACAAAATCAATGGTTACCTAATATGTCTATATAAAATATACACACATCTGCATAAAACTGCATTTAACCATAAGGGAGCAATTCTCCCAGACCCAAACAGATACTCTCCCAAATACAAAGTGGAAACAGAATCATTATTTCTTTCCCAATATTTTCTTCCCGGGCTCTTATTAGTCTCTATATAAGTAGGGTAAGGGACAACCAGTGTCATGACAACCATACTATGAATTAGTTTCGAAGTTTTCATGTTTTTAAAATAGATGTCATTACAAAAATTAAACCTCTCCAACAACAAATATTGGTGAGGATGTGGTGAAAAAGGAACTCTCCTACACTGCTGGTGGGAGTGCAAACTGATCCATTCACTATGGAAAGCTGTCTGGAGGTTCCTCAGTTTACTAAAAATGGAGTTACGATACAACCTGGCAATTCCCTCCTAGGGATCTACCAAAAGGACACAAAAACATTGATTCAAAAGAACACCTGTACACCTATGTTTATTGCAGCACTATTTACAAAAGGTAAAACCTGGAAACAACCCAAATGCCCAAAAACAGATGACTGGATCAAGAAGATGTGGCATATATACACAATGGAGTATTATTCAGCAATTAAAAAAGATAAACTCATGCCATTCGCAGCAATGTGGAAGGAGCTAGAAGGAATTATGCTCAGTGAAATAAGCCAGAAGAAAGAAGAAAAATATCAGATGGTTTCACTTATAACAGGAATATAGGGGAACCAAATAAGACATCAGTGTAAAAAAAAATAAATAACAGTACAAAACACGACAAAGCAAAAACAGACAATTATAAATCAGAGACATACTGCAGGGGAGGAAGAAGAGGAAGAGTGATCAGAGGGAGAGAGGGAGGAGAATAGGGGACTGTGATGATGGTGCACAGGTGCATTGGGGAAGGAAAGTCTATGGGGACTCAACCTGAGGGGGTGAGGGGAAGCAAATATTGTTTAAAAATAAAAATAAATAAAACAAAAAAAAATTAAACCTCTTTAAAAGTAGAAATAGACAGAATCAGGTGATACATTTTATTTACCATGAATGTATTTCAGGTTGCATGGTTATACTCAACTAAAGAGATGTTTCAATAATTTTTTTAGGTATAATGGATAGACAGCATATTAAAAAAAATAACAAAAAACTTAAGGCTGGCAAATGAAGTGCTACATCATTTCATTCCTTTGTTGTATAAAAATTTAGAAGATAACATTATAAAGAATAAAAGTCAGAATTATAAATTACCCGGTCATTCATGAGAAGATCTTTCACAATGAAAGTGGCTACCAATGACTTCAAAGGAGCAGCAAATTGATCAGGTGCAAGGAGAGCAATATGACCAATAGTAACCAACGGTGTTATAAGATGTTCCAGGTTGCTTGGATCTAGACTCTTATGTAGAGGCTGGAAAGGAGAGGAAAATATATTCAAATCTATTATAAACATGCAAATAAACTATTCACATGTCATTTTCAAATTTAGTAACTACAAAATTTCAATACATATACACGGTATAAGGAGTACCTCAGGCTTCATTTCAACTTCAACAGATTATGTCTACAAGGCATCATGATTAGGTATTTTCAATTCTGTGCTATCAATTTCGTATAATATATTTTACAACCACATACGAACATGTTAAAGAATACTAGGGCTCACCAATATTCATTTGTGTTCTACTTTCTGGGCATAAAATGATCACTCTTGAAGATTGCTCTGCATTTAGGTGAGGATATGTGAATAAGTTCTGGTTAACAGGATAAGAGTCAAAATGAATTATGTGATGGCTGCACTGAGGTAAGTATGAGCACTGGCTGACTTAATGTCAACAATCCAGTGGGACTGAAAAAGAAGTCAATAGCCAAAGAGTCTGTGCCTAAGTCGCTGATTAGAATGCTGGCCAAATGTCTAAAGAGACTTGTTTTGATTTTTTTTTTTTTTTGCAGGACTAAGGAATAAGCTTTTATCATGTACAGTCAGATGCATTTTGGTAGTTTTTTATAACATCAAATATTAAGTACCATAATTAATAAAATTATTGTTATTATTCTGATAAGAAAATCATTAAATGCATTTTGGCATGACAATGGAATGAGGCTCTTCATATACAAATATATAGAGAATGAAATCCATAGTAGTTTTAAAATAAGAAAACCAAAAGTGACTACAGTAGGCTATTACTAAAATAAAGGGATAAAATGTGTGTGTGTGTATGTGTGTGTGTGTGACACTTATATATAAATAAAAAATTCCCAGAAAAGTACATTAGAAACTGACAACATTGGTTGTCTCTCGGGAAAGAACTGGGTGGCTGGTGAAACAAGAGAACAAATTTACTATTTACTACTCAGGTATTTGTTTTGTACTTTACAATTTTGAAGCAAGTAAATATATTATCTTTTACAAATTGTGGTGACCTATTTTAAAAAACTGATGCTCTGTTCCCCATAATAAACATCAAGAACATCAATTCTAGGCTTGAAAAAAATACAAAACTGTACTGTTCCAACATATTAGGGCAACATGGGGTTAATTTAATCAAAAACATATTTAAATGCATTTACTTCTGGCTATTCTTGATAATTTTCCTTAATACTGCAATTACACAACTATTTACAACATGAACAAAAACCTAACATTGTTTTTTTGATTAGTTTATTATAATGAGTGTCATGATTTCGAACAATAATATAAGAAATTCATCTCTGGGATCCTGGGTAACAGGCAACCTCTTAAAGATCAGATGTCTCTATGAAATCTTTTCTCAGAAAATCATTCAACCTTGTATTTTATAAAAGGGCGACTATAGATTAGGTTCTTGTAAAGATGTAATAAAACAGATGTGAAGTTTTTTTTATAATATGTACAATTTTTAAAATACAATCTTGTAGAGATGTAAAAACAAAATAACAGATATAACATCAAAATGAAAATAACAGTATCCTATAAATACAAGTTATTTTCAGCATTATCCTCAATATCCTTGAAAACAAAAAGATTAAGAAAAACAGCTTTCCTATAAATCAATATGAATTCATTGAAGTCATTGTTGTATACAAAACAAGACTACAGAAAAACTTCCATCCAAATGCATGAAATTTTAAATAAATTATTTGCTATCTACAGCTAAGATTCTGTTTGAGAAAGAAAACTACCTTTCTTCTTCTTTCAGGTCTCAACATACATGAATATATGACAAATTTAACATAAATGCTTCTGAAGTATTTATAGCAGCTCCAACATAATTTTCAAATTGTTTTGAAGGCCCCAGCACTAAAAGTATAAATTTGGATTTTAGAGATTTTCTGTTTAGCTTCTATTTGCCAGAAGGCCCCCAAAAGCCTGATTATAATAGCTAACATTAATACTATAATACTCATAATGATTTATATAATTATTAGATTATATAAATTGTAGAGAAAATAGTATGAACTGTATGTTGAAAAGATACACCTTATAGCTTACAAAATTAGGTAAGTCATTAAAGTATACACTCATTTACTTTATATTACCAATCAGTCTGATTTATAAAATCCTATGTTTTAGTAATATCTTATAAGTTGAATTTTATTATTTAAACCTGAGAACTGGTAAAATAACCATTACCTACTATCAATAAGTATGATTTTACATATCAAGACTTGCTAACAAAAATTTCCAAATGCTTAAAATATAAAAAATAATGCCATAGTATACAATTGCTTGATTTCTGACTTTGAATGAACATTAAACATCTGAGTAAACAGACATTTTCACGTTAATCACTCATTGATATTGATTATACGGATTCAAATTCTGAAAATAGTCTATAAAATGATCCATCTCCAAATGTGAACATTCTGTAAAATCATTGACTTTTGCTTTTTTTAACTATGACATATGAAACAAAAATTTTTTTTCTCTTTACCTCAAATATCTGTGCAAACTGAGTCTCTTTACTAGAAAATATCGCATGAATACAATGAATGGCATATTTGGCTTGACGGGGGGGTCCTTTTTTAGATTTGTGATGTAAAACAGGAAGCAAGGCTCTAAAAAAAAAAAATCAAAAACAATAAACCAGAAAAATCAACAAGATTTCTACTAGATATTTTAATGTTTATATTTCTGAAATAGTTTTGTGAGAACAAAGTCACATCTACTCAGACTTATTATCAGTTATCCATAACTTTCCTTTACAAATATCTTCATTAAATTATTTTTTTCTCCTTTTTACTAAATAATTATAAATACAAGCATGGATGGTAGCTCATCTTTTTCTTTTTAATGTCATTCCCATCAGTCTTTTCTCTTATTCTCACTGCTATCACTCTAATTAAGCTTCTGCCACCTTAGGCACAGACCACTGTAATGGGACATAAATTATTCCTTCTTTCTCAACTCTCTTTGTCTCCTGATTCAATTTTTACTTTGTGCAAGAACAATCTACATAAAGGGAAACGTGGTTATTAACCCACACAAACTGGGAGCTTACTATATGCCAGGCACTATTAAAAGTCTCAAATCCTTGCCTTCATACTACCAGCGTATTCTTGACATGAAAAATGATAATACAAAAATTAGTAAAGTATTTGTTATAGCAAATTGTCATTGATAACTGCTATAGAAAGGGGGGAAAAACACAGAAAGAAGATAGGAATAAGGAGGGGGCAGCATAATTGTGCTATTTTAAATGAGGTGGCTACATAAGACACTTCTGATAAACATTTTTTTATTGAACTTTTATTTTCTTACATTGCTGTTCATTTTTGTACAATGTCTAATTTCCCTGCTCAGGTATAGTGCCCATAAATCTCCCAATACCACATCACCCACAAACCATCACCACTGTCCCTTATGCGCTTCATGCACTTCCCTCCCATATTTTGAGCCATTTCCCCTATCCTCTCCCCCCGCCCCACTGTATGCCTCAGATCTATCATTTGCCTGCAGTGATAAACTAACATTGAAACACAGTTCTAAGGAGGAAGGGAGTAACATGTAAGTACCTAAAATATCAGTCAATGTTGCATAACATTTCACTACACAAAAACTTAAAATGAATACCAAATAAAGCAGCCAGAATTTCTTAAGTTTAACTGTTATTCAAACATCTCATAGTGAAAGCACTTCTGAATACTTCTCTCTGCCCAGTAGCAACCTAGTGCTCCAACTAAGAATTCACAGAAATAATAGTTCATTCACAGAAAAAATAGATAAGTAAATAATGGCAAATATTTAAAAAAGACAAATGATGAAATGAAGGGAAATTCTGCATCTTGTATTACAAAAGAAAGGTTATTATTTCTAACATGTAAAGGCTATCTTCAATTAGAGACTGAAACAATCAACAATATCATGGGAAAATGGGCTGGATAAAAAAAGGCAGAAAGCTCTTCAAAAGAAGAAATACAGCTTGCCCTGTGATATGTAAAAAGATGTTTACCTTTACTCATTAAAAAAAAAAAAATTAAAACTACAGAGAGAACTTCTGCTTCAAATAACAGTAATTGTCAGCAGTTAAATCAAGTTGGATTTCTCTCTCACCTTAATGAAGCAGAAAACCAGGCAGTATGTTAAAGGTTTCGGACACTAAAAATGTAGCACAGTACTATAATTCCTAAAATATGGGAATCAATATAATGAAAAATCTAGGGCAGAATAAATCTGATAGGGAGAACGCAACCATTTCTACAGATACAATTCACACTGCAGTTCATCCCCTGTACATCAACACTACATCCTATTTTTTCCCTAAGTTGAGAAACACAATAGGAAATTCTGTATGACAAAACATGAAATAAGATGCACAATAATAAAATATAAATCACAAAAAATAAATAAATAAAATATGGGAATCAAATTAGAAGAGCCCTCTATCAGACCCTACTTACTGAGGGGGCAGTGTTCAGACCACAGTACAAGGAGAAATAAACAAAATAGAGCCTTGTGATCATATGTAATTATCAAGGGAGAGGCGGGAGTTCAGGGAAGCAAAGGAAACTATACATTCTAGGGCAAGTTATCAGAGGCAGGAGTTACAAAGAGAAAAAGAGAGCTCAAGTCCTAGAAATCTAAAGAGGGGTATTATCTCAAGTCTTTGGCTAAATAATGACCAGTGTTCCTGTTGGTGGGAGTGCAAACTGGTCCAACCTCTATGGAGAGCTGTGTGGAGATTTCTTGACTTACTAAACATAGAGCTTCCGTATGATCCAGGAACTCCACTCCTAGGTATTTACCCAAAGGACACAGAAACATCGATTCCAAAGAGCACCTGCACCCCTATGTTTATAGCAGCACTATTTACAATAGCTAAGCTTTGGAAACAACCCAAATGCCCAAAAAATAGATGACTGGATCAAGAAGATGTGGTACATATACACCATAGAATATTACTCGGCAATCAAAAAAGATAAACACATGCAATTTGCAGCAACATGGATAGAGCTGGAAGGGATCATGCTCAGCGAAATAAGCCAGAAAGAAAAAGAAAAATACCGGGTGGTCTCACTCATAGCAGGGAACTAGAAAACTTAAATAAGGGACCAGGAAAAAAAATAACTATAAGAAAGAAAATATCAAAATCAACAAACTACTATGAACCAGAGACACTCTATGGGGGGTGGGAGGCAGGGAAAAGAGGGACTGGGGTCAAAATAAGGGGGTTGTAATTGTATGGAGAATATAAAAATAAAATTTAAATAAAAATAAATAAAAGCACACGCAAAATAAATAATAATGACCAGTGTTCTATGAGTGATTAAAAGCTACCTGAGATCAGTTAAAAAAAAAAAGGTTAAAAATTCCCTAACACATACATCACTAGTAATAAATCATGTTTTCCCAGCCTCAGTAAAAACCTGTAATGCACACACAACTAGGAGAAAATTAATCAACAGAAACAAGTCCAGAACACAGCACAGATGACAGAATTAGCCAAGATATTACAACTGCTGTTAAAAATATGTTCCATATACTCTGGGCCTTCCCTGCTGGCACAGCGGTTGAGCGCTGGGTTGCGAGGCTGCCCGCAGCCTCTGCAGCGCCAGTTCAATCAATCCCCAGCCACCGGCGAGGGTCCCACAAAAAAGAAAAAAAAAAAAATGTTCCATATAATCCAAGAAGGTTAGGGAGATAACAGGAACAAAATGAGGGCAAAAATAAATTACATTTTTGAAACATCCAAATAGAACAAGTGAATATAAAAATATAATATCTGATATGAAAAATACATTGATGGGACTAAAAGCAGATTATTACAGAAGAAAAAAAAATCAGTGAACTTGAATATGTGGCAATAGAAGCTATAAAAAATAAAACAAGGGTGGGGAGGGAAGACCAGGAAAAAAATTATAACAGGGCTTCCATGACCTGTTACATAATATCAAGTAGTCAAAAAAAAAACCTCTACTGGAGTCTCAGAAAACAAGGAGATGGGAAGAACAGAAAAAAATTATTTGATGAAGTAACAATAAAAAATTGTCCAAATCTTAAGTAAATAAACCCACAGATCCAAGAATCTTCATAAGAAGCCTCAAGCAAAAGAAACAAAAGTAAACTATTCCAAGGTATGTCATTATCAATTAGGTAAAAACAGCAATAAAAGGGAAAAAAATCTCAAAATCAATGAGAAAAGACAGTATCTACAAAGGAACAAGGAATAAAAGAACACTTTTTCATCAGAAATCATGCAATCCAAAAAATAATTAAGTATCCTTTAAGAAGTAAATGAAAATAATTGTCAGCCTATAATTCTATTTTGAGCAAGAACTCCTCAACAGTGAAGGCAAAATGAAGATTTATTGAGACAAAGAAAAGCTGAGATAAATAGTTAAGCAGGATTCTACTACAAGAAATATTGGCTATTCAAGAAAATCTTACCAGATTAAAATATGGATATACAAACCAAAAAAAAAAAGTAAGAAAAATGGTAATTATGTATTAGAGTTCCTTAGAAAAATTCCAACTATTCAGCAAGACATGTATAAGGGCCTAAAACAATTTGTAATACCAGGTTGCAAAAAAAAAAAATTTTTTTTTTCAAAAATTAGTGGGGTTGTTCAAAAGGACTCCTGAATAGCATCCCAGATACACACGGAACAATCTGAGCATCGATGAGCATGATAATTGCAATTAACAAAGCACATATACCTGTAAATCCAGGAATCTTTTTAAAAACAATGCATTGGTCATATTTGGAGGATACTAGGAAATTATTTTGAATACTGTTAAATAACATAAAAGAATAAAACATTTATTCTGCTTTTTAAAAAATATGTAACACTAAGGAACCAAAGAATAGATATGTTCCTTTTTACAAATGATGAAGGAATAACAGACTATCACCACTGATAACTAAGTATCATCAGCTGGTATCATCACAAAAAATAACCAGCTATTACGTGCTTCCTGATAGAGACTACCATCAGAATACCATTCCTGTAATAACAAAGTTGAAAAACAACCTGATTATTATGTGACCCCTATAACGGAGTATACCACCAACTATAAAGTGGCCCTGTTCAAAAATATTGAATTGGAACTCAATTAAGCCTATAGACACAATTACCACTTTACAGAAAATTGAAAGTATGCCAAAAGCATACAATTAACACAAATCAGTTCATGTGAGAATTCTACAAGACAGCCAGGTTTCTTTATCAAAGACAGAAAGGAAGAACTGAAGGGGGGATTCTAAAGGAGACAAGGGACTTATGAGACATTCCATCAACAACAAAGTAGAAATCTCACTTAGATCCTAATTCAAACAGTTTTAAAAATTACTACAATTTTTAGGAAAATTAATTGGATATATTAACATCCAGCAGAAGCTATAAGTTAGTCATTTATAATCTAGTTAGTGGATACAAGAATGTTTGTTATAATATGCTATTATATACACATGTTTGAATTTTTCAATAAAATATGTACAAAAAATCATTCTATGATTTGATTTTTTTGTGAAATGAAAAATTACTATTTACTAATTATAGTTACTTCAGTAAGCTTCCCAAATGAGACATATCTTTTTCTCATAAACTATATTTTATAA